AGATTGTAGAAAAAATGCTTTTAAAAGTAAAAAAAAAAAAGTTGGCCACCCCCCCCCCCCAACCACACCCCCCCCCCCCCACAAGCCATGCCCACAGAACCGGTAGTAAAAAATTTTAGAACCCACCCCTGGGTCAGAAGTTCTGCATGTTTGACACCAAACCTGCAACCCAGAGATTGATACACAGAACGGTAGGCAGAATCCACATGGAGGATCTCTCTGTACAGGCAGCCCTGAAATGACAAATCTTTTCCAAAATCCACTGGGCATGAGGCGGATGATAAAGGGGACAGCAGAACCCATAATTATCTTCCCTGTTAAGCTTAAAATGCACACATCCAAACTGCAGGAGGGCAGATGTGTGAACAGATTTTTTGGCTACCGATAGACTTGTGGGTGTGTGCTCTGGTTGTTACTGGGTTGATATATTTCAGTTTAACTTTCTGTTCCTGAACGTGCATTGGGCCAAACCTTCATCATTGTGCAGCATAGTTTTTCTTTTCTTAAAGAATTTTCCTTTCCGTGGGAGAAACAGTCCATCAGCTTGGCTCTTGGACTTTCTGTGGTCACTTTCACCACCTGCCTGTTTTATCCCATTTAGTTAATTTCATCACCCCTCCCGATCATTTCACCAAGCTCATAGAAAGCTCCCACATTTGATTTGCCACTGGGATCTAGGATCCTTGCCCCATGTAGGTAGTCCTCATTTAGGGACTTTTCACAGGTATGATGGTGATGAAAAAGTTACTTTACAAACATTTACAACCTTCATGAGCCTGTAAAGCAAAGGACAGCTGAAATCAGATAATAAGCAAAGTTAAAGTTTCACTTAGTGACCATTTTGCTTTACCACCAAGTTGCTGGTTCCAATTATGGTTGCTAAACAAGGACTATCTGCATCCTAGAGTGCCAAAGTGATGGTGACTAGTGCCCAACAAATCTCTTGTGACAAAGAGTGTGAAAAAAAGTCTGCAGAGGGCAGGGGGTCAAGAAAGTCAAGATGGCAGCCACGCTTTAATGATAGATGCTCCAAACCTTTATGTGAGTTGCACGAACGTTAAAAAGGGACAAGGTTTTCACTGTGTAGCTGCAGAATTTCTTTTGACTTTTTAAATCATATCTGCGAATGCCAACAAATGATAGTAGTAACTGTTGCAGCATATGCTATCAGCTTTTACAGTGACAGAATAAAATGCCCATATCTTCAAACTGGCCATCTGGGATGCCCACAGACGTAGCCAAGCATTGGGACTAACATATGAGGCCTGGCTAATCTGACTCTCAGCAGCCATGTGCAGCAAATCAGCCGCGATGAAAAACTTTACTCTGCCTGCTATTTGACCCTCCAGTGTTGTGGAATGTGGAATTCTTGCTGATTTATCACCCTGATAAGCTAGGTCAGGGGTCTCCAACCTTGGCAACTTTAAGACTTGTGGACTTCAACTCCCAGAATTCCTCTGGGAGTTGGAGTCCACAAGTCTTAAAGTTGCCAAGGTTGGAGACCCTGACTCCTGAGCTAGGTGATATACTAACTGATTTCCATCTCTCGCTTTGGGCTGCCAGAGTTTTAAACACATCAGTGAGAACGATTTCACTCTCCACTCAGCTCAAGAGCAGGCAACTGGACGAGGGCAGGTGGCAAAATATTTTGGCTCTTGTCTGTCCAAGGGACCACCTAGCTTTTCCGCTGCTGCACTTTCTTTCTGGAGTTTGAAAAGAAAACCAGAGATTTTCACTCTGGTTTAAGGCATCTGGAACATGGTCACATTTTTTTTTCCTGTGAGATTTTGCTGTCCCAGCAGAAGAAATTGGCTTTGAATCAGAACTGAGAAGAGAAGGCTAGAGGAGGGGAACACACGTGTATGTGCATACACATGTACACATCTGCTTCTCCAAATGAAGGGGTATTTTGGTCTTTTCCTAGGTTGGCAGAATACATAAAAGGAAATGGAAGGATTTTTAGTACCCCGAAAATGTGGCTTCTAAATCTGAGATGCAAATTTCTACATGATCATTAGATAGCAGCAGAGGGATACATGGCTCGCTCTATTGACCATCCTGAATTTTGCATCCTAGTGCTAATTCAGCTATAGTTTGATTATCTCTAAAAGGGATTTGGTAGAAATAACGGAGCTATACCTTCTCTAGACCTTACCTGCCACTTGCAAAGAAATAATGCTTCAAGGAGATTTTAAAAAAAAACCTTATAAGCCATCTTTCCCCAGTAGATTTCGACCAGATGTGTTGGCTTGGCATTATGGGAACTGTGGTTATTACATTTGGGGAGCATCTTATAGGGATAATTTGGCATACAGCATAATGTAAAAACAGGTTGTTTTTTTTTAAAGGGTGATACACAAAGTCATTTCACTGTAGCAAAATGAAGAAATGACATTCTACCCCAATGCTGGATTAGATCTCCCCCCTCTACTGGGAATAATCATAGTAATAGCACTTAGACTTATATACCAATTCACAGTGCTTTATAGCTCTCTCTAAACAGTTTACAGAGTCAGTTTATTTCCCCCAACAATCTGGGTCCTCATTTTACCAACCTCGGAAGGAGGGGGGCTGAGTCAACCTTGAGCTGGTGAGAATCGAACTGATGAACTGCTGGCAACCAGCAGTCAGCAGAAGTAGCCTGCAGTACTGCATTCTAACCACTAAGCCACCAATGGTGACCAGAAGATTTTTTTCCCCCTGAACCATTTTAGAATCATGGCTTCTCCAGAGACAGAACCTTCCCTCATAGCAAAAGTCTTCCATTGCTCTGGAAAGCACCATCAAGCTTTCAGCAGGCATCTTCTCCAACTTTTGTTCTCCAGATATGTTGGACTACAACTCCTAGACTCCATAGCCAGCACAGTCCTTGTCAGTCCTTGCAGTCTGGGAATCCTGGGCACTGTTGTCAGGAACAAGAGTGTTAACAGGCTATGGTAAAAAAAAAAAAAAAATCAAGATGGCTGTCACAACACTGAGCCAAGCAATGTCGGCTGGCGGACCCCAGGGGGAGAGCCTTCTCTGTGGGGGCACCCGCTCTGTGGAATGAGCTACCTCCTGAAATACGACTGATCCCGGACCTCCGCACTTTCCGCAAGGCCCTGAAGACTTATTTATTCCAACAAGCTGGCCTAGTTTAAATGGTTTTAATGGGGATTTTTAATCTTTTAATTTTATTTGTTTTTTGGGTTTTAAATTGGGAATTTTTTGATTTTGTAGATTTGGGATTTTAAATTGGTAATGCCGCTGATTTAATCTATTTTAGTTTTTTCTTAACTTTTGTACTATATGTGTTTTAATTTCTGGCTGTCCACCGCCCTGAGTCCCCCTGGGGAGAAGGGCGGTATATAAGTTTAAATAAATAAATAAATAAATAATCACTACAATTGAAGCTCTTATCAACTTTTTAAACCAGAAACACCTCTGATCGAGAGCCAAATTGTCAGGTGGATGTCTTCAATTATTTCATAGATGGGAAGAGTCACTTTGCTATGTTACCAGAGAAATTGTCTAGAATAGGGATGTCCAATCTTGGCAACTTTATGGACTTCAACTTTCAGAATTCTTCAGCCCGCCACACTAAAGACTCAATAAGACATTGCAGAGTGCTCCATTGGATCTAACTGTGTAATATTTGCATGTAGCTTAGTTGATATTTGTAAATTTAAACCACCATGCAATTCACCACATCCTGTTCCAGATACTTCTCGGAGTGAAAGGGATTTATATTCACTTATATGAAAATGATTTTCAAGCCATGTCTCTTGGAACAGAAGTATATCGAATTCAGCAATGTAATTTATAAAAGCAGAATCTTGGAATTTAGCACTCCAACCTGCAGTATTCCATGAGAGAATGATTAGGGGTTTAAGGGTATCCAAGTGTCAATCTGAGTTCCCAACAGTAGCCATTATTAGAGGCCCTTCTGAAGAACTTTGGGAGTATAGGTTGTGTCATGCTGTTTGTTGCTAAGGTCAACTACTGAAGAGGCAAGCACATTCTGAGAATCGGAGACGAGAACATCAGTGTCAAAGAAGATAGCTCCAGAAATGGCATGGGACTCGAAGTCAGGCTTTTGGCTCTGCCAAGTGCTGGAATGAGGAGGGTTCATCCCTTTTACCAATTTGATCTTCAGCATCCCCATCTATCCCCCATAAGGAATTTGCAAACATTTTGTTGGGGGAATGCAATTGAGGAACCGTACTGTAGTTAAATGTTGGAAGCACATCTAAGTTCAAAGAAAGCATCGAGTGAACTTTTCCTTCAGGGAGTGGAGGAGGCTTTGTGCTTAGAATTCTTTAATTGTTGCAACAATTTTAAGAGGGCAAGAAATCTAAGGAGTTTCTTCAACATAGAACAACACGGATGAAAGAGTCTGGAACACTCACATCTGAGGAAGGAAGGGAGAGAGGGAGGGAGGGGATCAACCTTGGGAATTCTGGGAATTGAAGTCCACAAGTCTTAAAATTGCCAGGCTTCTGGATACCCCTGGTCTAGAATACAGAAAGGCTCTTCAGATTTATGTTCTAAATGTGAATAACACAAAGGAACATTTTATCATCTTTGGTGGAGATGTAAAAAAAGTTAGAACATTTCAGGTAAAACTATATATACCAATTCCAAGGATTTTAAAGATTAATATACAATTGAAATTGGAGATTTTTCTTTTGGGATTGATGGATATGATATGTACAAAAGAAGAAAGATTTGGCACAACCCACAATGGAGGAATGGTTGGTGAAGATGATGAAGCTTGCAAAGATGGCTTCATTAGAGAAAAAAAATCTACATTTATGGCTGACAAGAAATCCCTTATAGATTTTTTGTGGGAAACAAAAAAATAAATTTGCAAGTTATGATTTTGATTATTAGAAAAAACGATAATAGAAAATAGAGCTTGCAGCTCTTGTAAGCATAGACTAATTTTGTATTTGTGTACTTACAACTGTGAAGAGGCACTAAGCATCTTCTGACTGGTTTTTCCCCCTTCTTCCTTCTAGGCAATCTGGTAGATTTTCTCAAAGCTGCGGAAGGCACTAAATTAACAATTTATAAGCTGCTAGACATGTCAGCACAGGTATGAACAAAATAATATAATGGGGTGAGAAGATATAAGCAGACAGAAGGCTGAGAAGAGAAAACAGTGGAAACAACCTTTATTGGTGTGTGTGTGGGGGATTGTTAATGGGTAGAAAACTTATTTTTAGGGATGAAAAGAAATGGAAGAAACAGCTTTTGCTGAACCTGGAAATTTAGTTGGCTGTAGCTTGAATCTTTCCAGAACAACAGTCCCACAAGATCCTTAAAAAGAGATCCAACCTAGAAATAAGGAGAAATGTTTTGACAGTGAAAACAATTAATCAATGGAACAGCTTGCCTCCAAAACGTGGGGTGCTCTATCACTGGAAGTTTCTAAGAGGAGATTGAACAGCCATTTGACTGGGATGGTATGAGCCCCTGCCTTGAGCAGGAGATTGGACTAGAAAGCCCCTGAAGACTTATCATCCAGCCTTATGATTCTGTGTTCTATGGTGTGTACATTATTCCATTCCATTTCTGGGTTGACCGAAAGCCTTGATTTTTCCAGGAGTGTTTGCTCCTTAAGTACAAGGCAAGCAACTCCACTTGGTAATCCCCAGGCTGAATTATCAAATTCAGTTTGTTAATTGAAGAAATCAGCCAAACCTATTGTCTAGACCAGTGTTTTTCAACCTTGGCCATCTGAAGATGCGTGGACTTCAACTCCTCTGCTGGCTGGGGGATTCTGGGTGTTGGAAGTCCACGCATCTTCAGATGGCCAAGGTTGAAAAACACTGGTCTAGAACAAGAGCATCCTGAGAGTCAGAAAGGCTGCAGGTTAAAACAGGCTCTGCGCATGAATGTGTCATGCTTCACTGTCTACCTTGGCACAGGAGGATACTTAAAAAGTGATTCCTGTTTTCTTCTTCATAACCCTATGAAAAGAGCAGGAATAGGACATTCACTGATTTGGGGCAGCCATTTGGGAGCAAAAGGAGGAGGATCCGAGAGGGCCGTAAATAAATAAATAAATAAGTAAATAAAGGCTAAGAGGTCGTTTCAGTCCGATTTATAGCAGGAGAGTTGTGAGGATACATGGGAAAGGAAGGGAGTGACACTTGACCTGGGCGCTTGGGAGGAAAGCTGGGGTGGAAATGCAGCACAAAAGTATGTGATGTGTATCTCCTCTTTGTCCACAAAGATAGCAGAAGGAATGGCCTTCCTGGAGAAGAAAAACTACATCCATCGTGACCTGCGGGCTGCCAATATCCTGGTGTCTGAAAGCCTCTGCTGCAAGATTGCAGATTTTGGGTTGGCCCGCATTATGCAGGACGATGAATACACTGCTCAAGAGGGTGGGTTTCTTCTGCCCCTTTGGCCTTGCAAAACTTCTTTGGCAAGGGGGTGTCAAAGAATTCAAAATGGTAGCTTCAAACACCCAATCCATTTTTAGGTGTATTGCATGTGGAAAGGAGGAGGGCTTTGATTATACAGTCACGCTTTCTCAATCTTTTGTTAACTCCCCTTAGAAACCCTCCTGCTAAGACCTCATTCTTCTGAATGGGCAGATTAGGGTCCACAAATTATTCTGAACATGGAATTGGGGTGAGGGTGGGAGGGAAGGAGTTAGGACAGATGACCTTATGCACATATACTATGCACACCGATTCCAAAAGTGTTTCTCAACCTTAGCCACTTTAAACTGGATGGACCTCAGCTCCCAGAATTCTGGAATTGAAGTCCACACAGCTTAAAGAGGTCAAGGATGAGAAACACTGGACCAGAGTGGATTTTTAGAATGCAGGTGTGTGATGCACGCCCTTTGATGCTTGGTCAAAGGGTCAGAATCAGGGGTGAAATGCTCCCCGTTCAGACTGGTTTAGCCGAAACGGTAGCAATGGTTGCCGGTGGTTCGGAGAACCGGTAGCGATGGCAGTGCGAGGCTCTACCTGCCCACCCACCCGGTAGTCATTACTTCTTGGTTTTAACCAGGAAGTAATCTGTTTTTTACCCTCTGTGCATGTGCAGACGGGTTTGCACATGCGCAGAGGGTCCGCGCAGCGTGTGCACTTCCGAACCGGTTGGGAAGGTAAGTAGATTTCACCCCTGGTCAGAATCCTTTCTCCTGATAGGAAAACTGCCCCACTGTTTTAGAGCTGCAGCTGGCTGGCTTTGAGTTGGTGTCACAGCCTGTCTCCTGAGAAAGTTGTAGCCCACCGGCTCTGCATTGTGCATCAGCCAGGAAAGCTAGCGAGAGAAAGCTCTTTGCAACCCCGATACAATGAAATATGTGATTTCGAATGCAGCTCTCTGAAGAGATCCTTGCATACTGTGAGCAAGTAAGGCTCAACCTCAGCAACTTTTAAGAGATGCAGACTTGAATTCTAAGAATTTTAAAGTATTTTAAAGACTGCAGTGATCCTGTGGGATTCTGGGGCATGTTATTTATTTAATTTGTATCCCGCCTTTATTATTTTTACAAATAATTCAAAGCAGTGCACATATCCACTATACCAGTGTTGGTGAACCTTTTCGGCACCAAGTCCCGAAACGGGAGCACATGCATGCAAGTTCCAGAAGCTGGAAGAGCAGCCGAAGATGATCTTCTGGTTTCCAGCTGGCCACCTGGTTTTCCTGTTTCTGGCGCACATGCGCGCGCAAAGACCAGCTGGCCAGTGTGCATGCACACGCCAGAAACCAGAAGTGTCAATATTCAAATGTCAAAATTTGCCCAGGTCATGGGGGTTATGGGTGGTGGGGGGCACCGGAGCTGTCAGCAGTGGGGGAGGGATGAGCCCCATGTGAGGGGACCCTCTGCCTGCTCTGCCTGGCCTTTCAGAGGTCCTTGCTCCTTCCTGCCCACCCCCCCCGGTCCCCGTCGGGGTGGCGGGACATCCCCACTGACGACTCGGTTCTGCAGCCCTGGACAGGGAGAAAAAGTTGGGCGGGGAATGCCGCCTCCCTCCACTGGAGAGCCAGAGCCCCTTCCTGGCCTCGGAGGGAAGGGCGTCAGCTGTCCTGGGGCTCAGGTGGGGGGGGCAGCATACAGGAGAGCTTCACCCCAACTCTGGCCAGGATGAAACGCACCCCGCAGCCTGCCACCGTGAAAAAGCCAGCTCAGCCCCCCCTCCCATCACTTCTGCCAAGGGAGCGCAACTGCTTTCCAGTAGGCGAGCCTCTTACCCTGGCACCGGACAATGTTCCTCCTGCATGGACTCAGTTCCTGTGCCACCCTGCCACCCCAGAAGAGCAGCAGCAATGGCGGCAGCTGCAGGGTGGGGGCAGGAGTGACTGCCTGGCCCCCGCAGCCATTCCCCTGCTGATGAGCTGGACTCTCGGCGGTGTCTCCATGCATGAGGAGCTGTGTTCTCCTCCGCCATTCTTGGGGCAGCTTGCCTCCCCAACGGCGGCTCTTCCTCCTCCTGGCTGTTCCAGCATCCCGGCCGGGAAGCAGCAGCACAAGAACCGCTGCCGTTCCCTTGCCCCTGGCAGTGGCAGGACAGTGGGCAGGACAACTGGCTGCCCAGCCAGCAAATGCTGCCCTGCTGCCCCGTGCGCCTGACCCAGCCAGGTACTCCGGACTACAGACGTGCCTTGGTGCTGCAGGCTGGAGGGCTGTGGCCGCGTATGAAGCCCGCTTGGGCAGGGAGGGAGGGAAGCCCTGGCCCACCCATCCTGGCCAGCAGCTCTGCTGCAGTGGTGGGTTGCCCCCGGTTCGGACCGGTTCTATAGAACCAGTAGTAAAACTGGCAGGAGGCTCCGCCCACTGACCCCAACAGCATCAGGAAGCTGTGCATGCGCAGAAGCGCGAGCGTGTGCACGAGCAAAGTTGCGAACTGGTAGTAAAGGTAAGTAGAACCCCCCCCCTGCTCTGCTCCCCTTGGAAACGACCGTGGGGATCCCCACTCCGTGGCTTTCTGTGCTGCTCTCACTGCAATTCGCCTGCCAGGTAGGCTGCCCTGGGACCGGCATTTGTGGGGGTCGTGTGAACAGACACCCTTGCACTGGGGGACTTCTTATGTAGAGCCATTTCTCTGGGCACGCGAGCCATTGCCCATTCCTCTTCCGGGTTCCAGTGCGCCGGCCAGCTGGTATTTGCGCATGCATGCCCGCTAGAAACTGGAAGACCAGGTGGCCGGCACACATGCGTGTGCTGGAAACCAGAAGATCATTTTCCTGGCGCACGCATGTGCATCAGGCGGCTGCTTTTCCGGTTTCTGCTGCTCCCATGTGCGTGAAAACCAGCTGGCAGATGCGCTGGAACCAGGAAGAGCAACGGGCAATGGTTTGCGTGCCGGGAGAGATGGCTCTGCGTGCCACTTCTGGCACGTGTGCCATAGGTTCGCCATCACTGCACTATACCTTCCTCCTCCTATGTTCCCCACAACAACCCTATTGGATGAGTTGGGCTGAGAGAGAGAGAGAGTAGACTGGCCCAAAGTCAGATATATAAAGATGACTGAAGGTCCAGGAACGGGAAAATTCTCTCTAGTGTGCTGATCATCAACAAAACTCTGATTTTATAGATGAGGAACATTTTTAATGATGATCAAGGACATGTGGCATAAAATGCTGGCATTCCACAGTGTGCAGCTCCTTCTTGTGGCCGATGCAATGAAATCTACCAGTTTTCCTTCTGGGAAAAATTAGTATTTCTTTTCCAGCCTTCCAACTCTCCTGATTGGCTGGAGCTCAGTTCCTGAATTCGCAAGCCATAGAGCTAAGGGAATTCTGGGAATTGAAGTACAGAGGGAAACAAGTAGGTCTACTCTGCACCAAGATATCATTCTTACTCTCTTAAGATTTCTTCCTTCAGGAGCAAAGTTCCCAATTAAATGGACAGCCCCGGAGGCCATCAATTATGGAATATTCACCATTAAATCAGATGTCTGGTCATTTGGGATTCTACTGACTGAGATAATCACTTATGGCCGGATCCCTTACCCAGGTCAGTAAGTAGCGAACTATTTCCATTTGTGATCTATATGAAATAAGTTTGCCTTTGTCTAAGGCAGGGTTTCTCAAACTTGGGCAGCTTTAAGATTTAGGGATTTCATCTCCCAGAATTCCCTAGCCAGTCATGGAATTCTGCAAGCTGAAGTCCACACACATCTTAGTTGCTGAGTTAAGAAACTCTGCTGTAAGGTAGAAATTCTGGAGGAAGCATCACCACACCTTTTTGGGTGTAGGAAGAAATATCCTTCAGGGTTCAGCTCCAAGTGGGGAAAAAGACACTGGAAACATGGAGACTGCTTGGAAAGATGGTTTAATGGTGGACAGGATCACATGGTTTGAGTTCCTGAACAGAAAAAAGGGTCGAGATGCAGCGAGTCCCCGGGTTTTATGTCCTCTCTGGCTTTGAACTTCCTGGGGCCCAGAAAGAGTATCCTGATTGGTTGTCAGACTCCCAGTGGGTGGGGGTCTTAGCTAGCCTTGCTGGCTGATATAATCTTCCCAGGTGCCATGTGGTGAGTTTCTGTTGTTAGATGGGTCCTATTGTGTTGCAGATGATGGTCCATTGATAAAGACTGGGTTTCTGCCTCTGGCCCATTGACAAAAGGGTGGGGGCAGGAAGGTGGGAGCTGCTTCGTCTTTAAAACATGCTTCTCCATTTCTCATACAGGGAAACATAATATTCTGCCTTTTTAATATTTCCTAAAATATTTCATTCTTCTAGGAAAGGGGTGGGTGCTAACTTCCTACATGGGGATGCTTTATGATGTGTTGGCTTTGTGGGGGGAATCGCCCTACCTGGACCCCATCCCCATTCTCATTTGCTGCCTCTCTTACGACTCCAGGAATGAGCAATCCAGAAGTCATCCAAAACCTGGAAAAAGGGTACCGGATGCCACATCCGGACAACTGCCCAGAAGAGCTGTACAAACTGATGTTGCAGTGTTGGAGAGATAACCCAAAGCAACGCCCGACTTTTGAGTTCCTGAAAGGGGTCCTGGAGGATTTCTTCACTGCCACGGAAGTACAATATGAGCAGCAGGTGTGAAGATGCTTCAAGCCGAGATCCATGGGACACTATTCTCACAAACCAGCAGAAAAGACACTCTTGAAGACTTTGCCTTGCATCCAAGATGGCGGAGAGGGGGGGTACGATGGAGAAGAAGGGCTTTATTCGGACCCCAATGACTTCCTGAGGAGTTCATGGCTAATCTCATGGCAAACTTCCCCCCTTTTTTTCAAAAGGAAAAGAAAACTAATGTTCAAAGGTGCCCAGAGGAACTGAGACAGAGTTCTTGCACCTGCTCAGCAAGCAGAAGCGAGCTTTTTTTATTACTACTTTTCGCTTCAGCTGCTCTGTAGGAGGCACGTGCACCTGGTATAGGTAGTCCTCGACTTATGACCGTGCTGAACCTGGCAATTCCGGTTGTAAGTTGTGACAGTCGCAAAGCAAAATCACCCACGTGACCAGACCTGTTTTTTTTATGGCCATTTTGCGGTCATAAAGCAAAAGCTGTGGTCATTAAGCGAGTCCATTTTTGCTAGTTTTTTCCCCAGAAATTTAAAGTGAATGCTGGTTTTCAGCAAAACCGTTGTACATGGCAATCATGTGATTGTGGGGGAGGGGCAACATCAAAACTTCAAATCTACCAGTAGGTTATAAGTAGTTTTTTTATTTTTATTATATATATATATATAAATTTGATTTATATGCCGCCCTTCTCCGGAGATTCAGGGCGGCTTACAAAGCGTTAAGCAATAGCCTTCATACTTTTGTATATTTTTACAAAGTCAGCTTATTGCCCCCACAAACTGGGTCCTCAATTTACCTACCTTAGAAAGGATGGAAGGCTGAGTCAACCTTGAGCCTATAATTTGATCTTTTCTAAATGCACACGTGCTTAATACATTGTAAGTTATACATGCAAAAGTCTGCGCTTTCAATTGTATACGATCGGTTTTGATTTAAGTTTTAAAATTCTTCATGAGTTTTTTTTTTTCAAAAGAACAGAAGGTGCAGTAAATTTAAATAGAATATGTCCCAGAAAAAACAGCTCATAGAGCAGGGGAAGCTTAAAAAAAGGAAGGGCAAATCGTCTAAAGCAGTGTTATAATATTTAATTATATATATATATATATATATATATATATAATATATATATATATATATATTATATATATATATATATATATATATATTATATTATTATATTATATATAATCGGGGAAACATTATATATAATATATATTATAATATATAATATATATATAATAATATATAATATTATTATATTATATATTATATAATTATAATATAATTTATATAAATATTCCCCCGTCAAAAGTTTAAAAATCAAAGATTTTTTGCTGGAGGGCGGGGGGGGGGCGTCCTCCGCTTCGCAGGGGATATAACCAGAGGAATGTCCCCCCCTCCTGTGAAAAATGGTACTAGCTCATCCTAAAGACACCCCTCTATTTCTCCTGCCCCAGTGGTACAATCCGAGCAACTCCTCGCTTGCTCGATCTAACTTCTTGTCGCCAAACGCCCCGCCCTTCCAGGCTTCCCATTGGCCATGAGCGGGATGCCTCCACTTGTGATAGGCTAGTGGGCGGGGAAGGGTTGTCTGAGGGCCGCCCTCTCTTCCCTGCCCAGGCGGGCTCGGTTGCGTGGCGGGACTCTGGTCTGGACTGAGGCGCCGTCGGGACGCGGCGGCGGCGGCGGCGGAAAATGGCGCTGACTCAGGGGACCAAGCGGAAAGTCTGCTACTATTACGACGGTGAGTGAGGGGCTCCGCGTTGGGAGGGCGGGGCTTAGGGAGGAAGAGGAGGGGCCAGGGAGGGGGGAGGGGGCGGTGGTAGAAGGGGGACTACACCTCCCATCATCCACAGCGCTCCCGGGGACCGCCTGCTGCATCCCCTCATCGACCATCGGAGCTTTCTGGCTGCTTCGGGAGTTGTAATCAATCTTCCCCGAGCGGGCGATCCTTCCTTGGGTGCCTGGACTCCATCTCCCATGCTTCCCAGCCGGAGGCGGATCGGGGCCGGGGGGGGGGGGGCGGGGGCGGGGAAAGCCCGGGTTTTTTTAGAGGGGGGGGATGGGCAAGTGGGTGAAGGTGGGGAAGCCTGATGGAGGCGGAAAAGGGCTTCCGCTCTCGGCACAACAGCCCTGAGAGGTGGGACAGGCTGAGCGTCGGAGGGAGGGAGGGAGGGAGGGAGGGACTCCAGGGGAGGTGGGGGGAGCAGTGACCCCCAATTAATTATGGGGCGGGGGGGGGAAGGACCTGGTTGGCAAAAGCCTCGTGAAGCCGGCCCGGATTTGCACCCTCGCATGGCAGGGGAAAGGGGGCCCCGCTGGGAACGGGGTGGGGTGGGGTGCCTGTGTGCGTGTGGACCGTGCAGGGCCTGGGGGCGAAGGCTGGCCCTGGGCTGCCAGGAGAGTTCAGATGAACAGTGTGGGAAGGGACCTTGGAGGTCATCTAGTCCAGCCCCCCACCCCCTCACCCACCCAAGCAGGAGATCCTACACCAGCGATGGCTAACCTTTTTATTGTCGCGTGCCAAAAGTGGGGCTCCAAAAGGAGGGAGGGATTCACACGTGTGTGTGTGTGCCCACACCCATAATTCAATGCCCCCCCCTGCACATGCACGCGCAGCCCCTCCACGGCCCCCGCTTTTGGCACACAACGGCAAAAAGGTTACCGGTGGGCCCAGTAGGCCCATTTTTCGCCCTCCCAAGGCTCCAGAGGCTTTCTTGGAGCCCGGGGAGGGCAAAAACAGCCTTCCCCACCTCCCCGGAGGCCGGAAACGGCCCGTTTCCTGACTTCCAGTGGGCGCAGAAGGCCCGAAAATTAGCTGGCCAGCACGCGCATGCGAGCTGGAGCTGAGCTAGGACAACGCTCGCGTGCCCATAAATATGGCTTTGCATGCCACCTGTGGCACGCATGCCATAGGTTCGCCATCACAGTCCTACACCATTCCTGACAAATGGCAGTCCAATCTCTTCTTAAAAGCCTCCAGTGATGAAGCTCCCACAACTTCCGAAGGCAACTTCTGTTCCATGGGTTGATTGTTTTTACTGTCAGAAAATTTCTTTTTATTTCTAAGTTGAATCTCTCCTTGGTCAGTTTCCATCCATTATTCCTTTTCTAGCCTTTAGGTGCTTTGGAAAACAGCTTGGGGGGTCCCTTCTTTGTGGCAGCCCCTCAAATATTGGAAGACTGCTATCGTGTCTCCCCTGGTCCTTCTCTGCACTAGACTAGCCAGGCCCAGTTCTGCAAGAGCCTCTCTGCCCTTTGCACGTGGAAAGGGAACTAGGGTCAGGCAGGGATGTCGGGAGGGTGGAGGTGGGGGAAGAGAGCCTTGGGGCAGCGTGGGAGAAGCCATCAAGGCGACGGACCCCCCAAAGGGACCCCTGATGTAAGGCTGGGGGCTGCCCGGTTGCAGGGAGGGCTTTGATCAGAAGAAAAACATCCCCTAACAGTGGCTAGTGCTTAGTGGCAGGCCCGTTTGGGGTTTTCTGCCGCCATGAAGGAAGACGATTTTAAGCCTAGGGAATTCCTGTCCTAGCTTTGTCTGGGCTCTGTCCTTCTCCACCACTAGCAGCAACCTTGTAGGTCATGGATGTTCCAAATTTTCTCAGGATTACTCTCTGGGCACCTGATGAAGTATATCCATAAACACTTATACGAGAAGAAATGACTTGGCATGTAATATACGGCTCACAATAGCCTTGGTGGGTAGGCCAGGTCCGAAATGAGAGAGCCTAGTGGCCCCAAGTAACTTCCACGACTGATTTGAAGAGAGGCTCCCAGTTCTGATCCAACACCGACTGCAACACTGGAAAGAGTTTACCGAGCTGACTGGAGGAGTCTTTCTACTCGCTGTAAGCATGTAGGATCAAGCTCAGGATGTGAAGAAGGAGAAGAGCCAGGGCAGCCATTGAGAGAAGGAGCGCTGGATGGGATGTTTCAAGAAGCCAAGGGGCAGCTGGTAGTACGTTGGTAGGGAATGAGATGGAATAGTGCTGTCCAACTGTATTGGAAAACCATCTGGAGATTTAGCAGAGCTGAAAAAGAGAGAGCTGGGTGTGGACAGAGGAGGAAGTTGGTGGAAAATGAAGGAAAGGTGGTTGGTTTTACTATTGTGGCATTGGCCATGAGCGGGATGCACCTCCTTTTAAGTTCCATTGTCCTACGCCAAAGCAGCTCTTGGGCCTGCAATGGTTGCAAGGGAGAAGGGGGAACAGCTTTGTGTCCTGTGTTTTCTGGATGAGGATAGGTCTGAATTGGACTCTAGGGCTTCCCCGGCTTCTTAAGCTAAATTCTGACTTGAGTGATCTCCATTTCTATGCCCTGTCTTCTCTGGCCTCGGAGCTGAAGATGTTTATCCTTGGAAGAGGCTCCTGGTTCTTTCTCAGGCCACATATTTCCTGTTGTCACAAAAGCAATCCCTGTTTCCCATGTTAGCCTGGGAAATTAGGCCTGCTTCTAGAAGGGGAATTGGTTTGCTGGGAATCACTTCTTCATCTAAGCTCCATGGATGGTGTTTTCAAAGAAATGCTAGGGCCTTGTTTGCCAGGAAGGCAGGCCATTTTTTTTTTTTTAATTTGATTTATATGCCGCCCTTCTCCGGAGACTCAGGGCGGCTTACAATGCGCTAAGCAATTTTCCAGGGCAAATATGCACAACTGATGTTTGCTTCAGGCCATGTGCTTCTTGGGATCCGAAGCAGCTTGCAACTTTCCTGTGTCTCCAGGAGGATGTTCTCAATTGGACCAAAGGTCCATCTAGAGTAGGGATAGTCATCTTGTAGAGCAGGGCTGTCAAACTCCTGGCCCCTGGGCCGGATGCGTCGCGTGCTGGCCATGCCCACGCCCTGTTTAGCAAAGGGGGAAAAAGTCCCGATGCGGCACGTGATGCCGCCATGACAATGTGAGTTTGACACCCCTGTTGTAGAGGTTTAAAAGTAATCAGTAGTTTTCTGGCTTTTGGGCAGGAAATGTTTGAAAATGATAATGCAAACTCTAAAATAGGCTCTGTGTTTGTCTGTGTGTATGAATGCATAAATAAATACCTGTAAGAGTAAGGAAAAGAGCATTCCCAAAGCTCTCTTCAAAAACACTACATTGTGGTTCCATCTATGATTATGAGATAGCCCTGTACTACTATAACAGTAATACAGGTAGTCCTCAGCTTATGACCGTAATGGAGCCTGCCCATTATTTATTGTGATGCCCATCACATGACCAGAGCCATTTTTATGACCTTTTTTGCAGCAATTGTTAAGTGAACCTATTTTTTGTTATCAACTGGTTTTGCAGAAAATGAGAAGTCAATGCCTATTATTGGCAAAATGTCATAAAACATGATCACAGGACTGCAGGGCGCTAAATGTGGGCCATTTGCCAAGTGCCCCAGATGTGGTCATGAGGCTGGGGATTGGTCACCATACTTTTGAAACTAGGTCCTAATTACTCCATGGTATGAAACTAAGCGACTGGTCATAATTTGACCACTTTCTGGACCGGGACGCCCTGCGCACGGTCACTCACGCCCTTGTTACCTCCCGGTTGGACTATTGTAATGCTCTCTACATGGGGCTCCCCTTGAAGAGCACTCGGAGGCTCCAACTGGTCCAGAATGCGGCCGCGCAGGTGGTTATGGGTGTAACCCGTTGCGCCCACGTGACACCCCTCCTGCGTGAGCTGCACTGGCTCCCAGTGGTCTTCCGGGTGCAATTCAAGGTGTTGGTCACCATCTTTAAAGCACTCCATGGCACAGGACCCGGGTACCTTCGAGACCGTCTTCTGCCACCAATAGCCTCCCACCGACCAGTCCACTCCCACAGAGAGGGTCTCCTCAGGGTGCCATCGGCCAAGTCATGTCGGCTGGCGACACCCAGGGGGAGGGCCTTCTCTGTGGGAGCCCCAGCCCTGTGGAATGAACTGCCCCCGGAAATTCGTAAGATTTCTGACCTCCGGGTGTTTCGCTGCGCACTCAAGACCCTATTGTTCCGCCAGGCTGGGTTAGCAACATAATTTTAAATTGGATGTTTTAAATTTTGGGGGTTTTAAATTAAGCCAAATTTATTTAATATTTTTAAATTATTTTAAATTGATGTCTATTCTGTTTTTAAATAGGCTGTACACCGCCCTGAGTCCTTCGGGAGAAGGACGGTATAGAAATAAATTATTATTATTATTATTATTATTATTATTATTATTATTATTATTATTTATTGGTTAATCTTTAGTGGGATTCACAGCCTTTGAGGCTGGTTAATAGCTCAGCAGCTCGAGTCCTAACCAAGGACCTAGGAACTGTTAAGGTATCGTCGGAGGATGTAAGCTGTTCCGAGTAAGGTGGTTTTTTGTAGAGTCAAAATGTTCAAGTCCGGCAAATTTAGAATTTCTAAATAGCGGGGTAGCCCTTTGGGTATTGCTCCGAGGGCTCCAATTACAATCGGGACAGCACACGATTTCTTTTTCCACAGTCGCTCAACTTCAATTTGTAAGTCCCGGTACTTTGTGATTTTTTCTTGCTGCTTATCTTCAATTCGTGCATCACCAGGTATTGCAATGTCAATGAACCATTATTATTATTATTATTATTATTATTATTATTATTATTATTATTATTATTGAGTGCTACATGTAAATCAAGTAATCCAGGCATTTACTGTATATGGTGGCCCAGGCCAGACTTAAAGGCTTTTTCATGTAAGAACTCCATGCCAGTTTGAAAACGTCTCTAGACCAGTATGATCCACATCACCCCTGTTCATCAGCAGAACTGATTTAGTTTTGGCTTGGCAGCATTCTACTTGAAACCACAGATGAATGCTGTTTACTTGCTTATGGAAGTACTGTGACTTAATGAAACTCAATGGTGGATTTCCCCATTAGGAGGAGCTCTTGCCTCACCCTTTCCCTGCTCCTGGTCCTGGCAGGGCAGAGTTGGCTTAGTGGCTTCACAAGTCCCTTGCCTTCAGGATCCCTTTGGAGTTTTTGCCCTTGACCCAGAGGTATGCAAAGCCTGTTCAATAAGGATGTGTGTGTCTGTGTGTATTAATTGATTTTATTTTCCTTTCTCTTTAGTGGCCTCAGGGATTTTGTTGCTGTAGGAGCAGTATGTTGATTTTTTCCCCCTCCTTGTTCTGAATGTTGTGAGGCAAATAGCAGTGAGGAGAGTCACAGAGGGCTTTTGATTGCCCCTTGAAAGATTAGGGCAGTCTTTCTCAAACTTGGCAACTTTAAGATGTGTGGACTTCAACACCCACACAATCGATGGCTGGCTAGGGAATTCTGGGAGTTGAAGTGCACACAACTTGAAGTTATCAAGTTTGAAAAATACTAAATTAGAATGTGAAAGTGGTCCTATAGTCGGCCTACCCATCTATCCTTGGCACAGAGGGCTTTGCTTAGCTTACTTAGCACTCTTTTATAGGTAATAATCAATTTACAACCATTTGCTTAACAGTCAAAGTCACAACAGCAACTGAGAAAAATTGCTTATAATCAGTCCCTGCACTTATGATTGGTCCTTGCAGCATCCCTGCTGTCACATGAGTGCCACTTACAAGCTTCCCAGGGGGTTTCTGACAAGCAAAGTCCGTGGGGGAAGACAGATTCGCTTAATGACTGCACAAGTTGCATAATGATCACTGCCAAAAAAGGTTGTAAAATCGAATGCGGCTTATTTAATAAGTGCATCGCTTTGCAGCAGAAATTCCAGTCCCAATTGTAGTTGTAAGTTGAGGACTAACTGTACCCTCTTCCACTCAGAAGCACATTGCTAACCCAGTTCTCCAACTGAAGGACTCTTGAGAGCTGTGAACTTCTTCCAAGATTCTCAGCAATGGCTGTATTGGCTGGGGAATTTTGGATGTTGGGCTCCATGGTCTTTAAAAAATATTCTGTGTGTTTCATTTGGACTGTCTCTTTTGGAGTGAAGTGAGGTTTTCTTATAAAGTGAGGCAGGATTGGATCTGCTTAGTATTTTGACGGAGATATCCAAGGCTTATAGGTTCCAGTGGGGAGGTCAAAAGAGATTCCTTGAAAGAAACATTGGCAAATGACTTCTGTTGTTGCCAAGAAAACAATGTGGAGGTTTCCATGAAATTCAGTAGGAGCTGAGAATTCCTTCCAGCTTAAGGAATTCTTTACCTGTTTATAGCTGCAAGGGGAAGCTGCTGCAGGCGGCTGCTTATTATTGACAAAGTCATATTGTATGGAGGTGTTGCATTTTGGGGTCCATCCCAATCCTCTTGCCAAATTCTTATATTCTGAAGCACTTTTCTGAAACAGCTGTCTGTTCTCTGAGGCTGCTGAGGAAGGCCTTTTCTTCCCTCGCTTTCTGTAAAAGAGAGCTGGGACAACTTGGAGCAGTTGGTAGTTGAACCCTGTCCCTTAGCTGAGAAAGGCTGAATCAGCAGGGTCTCAACATGCTTTAAGGGGGCCTGATTGACGCTTTGGGCCACAGCATGAGTTCTGCCTGATATATTGAATAAAGCAAAGTTCACAACAACACGGAAATCAAAACAGAGCTCATTGTATTACAATTTATGTTTATTCATTTGAATAACATAAACATTTTGAGGAACACTACTTGAGGATATTCATCACTTTGCTTCTGCTTTTTGTATGATGGTGGTTGCTTGGTGATGTTGTAGGAAGTTAGCACCCACCCCTCTCCTGGAAGAATGAAATATTTTAGGAAATATGAAAAAGGCAGAATATTATATTTCCCTGGGATAAGCATGTTTTGAAGCAGCTCCCATCTTCCTGCCCCCACCCTTTGTCAATGGGCCATTAAGGCCTGGGCCAGTCTATTCTACATAACAAAGATCTACCTCCTTCAGGCAGAGCCATAGTAGGAATTGCCAAAGATACAACAAGGATTAGCCCTCTACACAATAGCAGCAGAAGCTCACCACATGTGACTTGGGAAGCACATGTGACCATCAGCCAGCAAGGCCCCCACCCCCTGGGAGTCTGACAACCAATCAGGGTACTCTTTTGGGGCCCCAAGAAATGCAGAGCCAGAGAGAGCATAAAAACCCGAGGATTTTCTGTATCTGCCCTTTTCTGTTCAGGAACTCAAGCCATGTGATCCTGTCCACCATTAAACCATCTTTCCAAGCAGTCTCCATGTTTCCAGTGTCTGTTTCCCCACTTGGAGCAGAACCCAGAAGGATGTTTCTTCCAACAATGTTTTGGAATTGTCTGCTGCCCTGGTGGGAAATTGCTTTTATTGAATTGAATTGTGCAAGTTTTGGGCACGGTTGAAAAGATTTTTTACTTGTACTGGATTCTACAAACGAAATTGTGAGTTGATTCAGAACACCTGCTACCATGCAGTCAATGTCTCTGTAAAATGTGATGGCACCTCTGTCATGAACAAAGGGTACGTGCATGTGGGCTTCAGAATTCCTCCGCTCTGCAGTTCTCCGTTTGAAGGATGGTTTGGGGAGCTAGCTCACATCCCATTTTCATCTCACTTGCAGCAGAATTCAGAAGAGTTAAGAAGCTGCCCTGCCGATTACCTACACTCAAGGTCTGGGAGTTGAAGTCCAAACTTCATAAAGTTGACTAGGTTGAAAAAAACACTGCTCAGGGAAATAGTCCTTCCTCAGGAAACCTATTAAACTGAGGACTGAAGCTGTATTTGTACACAGGACAGTTCTTGCTTTGATGATGTTACCTACTTAAGTTATGAAATGACTGCAAGAAAACAAGCTCAGAGAGTACCAAGAGTTCCACAGTTCAACCCTGAACTCTTCTATTGGAACAGATCTTTTAACTCAAAACTCCTGTATTCCTCTCCACCCCCCCTTGTTATGCTGATGGCCATTCTTAAATTCCTTTCTAACATTTCATTAGGTTCACATTGTCATGATAATGTTGTACTCCCCTCCTCCCCTCTTTTCTTTGCCTCTTAGGGGACATTGGAAACTATTACTATGGTCAAGGTCACCCCATGAAGCCTCACAGGATCAGGATGACTCACAACCTTCTTCTCAACTATGGTCTTTACAGAAAAATGGAAATTTACGTAAGTTTTTTTTAAAACTGAACATTAAATTCTTCACCCACTGTTACTGACTGGGGCTTGTGGCTCAGAAAGAAGGAGAGCTACTACAAGGGAGTGTCCCCCATCACCCCACCTGGAGGCAGCGATCAAGAAGGACCAGTGGAAATTGATCCCATCTAGGGCTGAATCCTGACTGGAAGGGATCCTGGTCATCTCTTTATTTGAGGCTTTTTGTGGCTGCTCAAGCGCCCCTTTTTCAAGAACCTCAATACAGTCAGAGGTATGCTTGAACAATGTTCAGAAGTGACAGCCTTACCAAGTTCTCCTCCTCCTTTCTCTGTCATTTCAGCGACCTTACAAAGCAAGTGCCGAGGAGATGACCAAATATCACAGTGATGATTACATTAAATTTCTGCGGTCAATTCGCCCAGATAACATGTCCGAATACAGCAAGCAGATGCAGCGATGTGAGTGAAAGTGGACGGTGTTTTATATTTGCTTGGAAATCCTCAGACATGCTTGGCTAAAAACGGGCCCCTCGGTGGGTTTTTTTTGGGGGGGGGAAGGGTTAATGCGCTGATAAGGCTTATAGCAGCAAGGATGGATGATATCGCCACTGTAAAAATCCATTTGCAATATCTTATCCATCAGCCCTTAAACGAGGCTTCTGATCCCAGTTGGGAAAAGCCTGGCCTGACATAGAATGTGTGGTGCTTTCAGGTGGGATGACAAACTGGCAAGCCTTTGGTGTTGCTGGGACCCCACCACCTCTTTGTGGATGAGAAGAGAAAATGAGCAATTCCCTTGTTTTCAACACATTTGCCCTTCCTTCGGAGGGTGACTTGTTAATATCCACTGTTTGTGTGCCAGGGAAAGTTTGGTCAGTCATGCAAAAAAACAGGTTTAGGCTTAAGAAGGCATAGATCCTTCTTGGAACGTTTTGTTGCTTGGGTTGAGTTAAAGCTTGAGAAATGGTGTGCAGTGCAAATATTCATCCTTCTACCCAAGGTGGGATTTCTTAACCACAGCAACTTTAACTTAGGTGGACTTTAACTCCCAGAATTCCCCAGCCGGCACTTTGGATGACCCTACTTCCCTGTGGTCCTCCTTCCCTGCCTAAGTACTAACCATCTTGAAGCTCCAGAGTGGAGTTCCGCCAAGCTCTTAAAGCTGTCAGTTGGCTAGAGCTCCAGCAGGTGGCGCCACCTCCTAGCATTGTTAAATGCCAATGGACAGCTTGAACAAAATCTGATATCTCACTTTCATTAATGAGCAGCTTGTGTGGGGTTTTTTTTCCCTGTAAGCAAGATATCTCAATGCAGTTGCTCAGTTTTTGCCTCATGTTCCTAGATCACTTGGACTCCAGTGGAAGGACAGCTTTATTGCACTGGTTCACAAATTATATATTTATGTTTATCAAATTTAGAGGCTGTCCATCTCACTCACAGAGCAGCTCTGGGTGATGTACAGTTAAATCTCTCCTTCCTTGTCCTCCTTTATCAGTTTTCCAAACATAAAAGGTACAAAGGCAAAGGTTCCCTTCCCACATATACGCCAGTCGTTCCCGACTCTAGGGGGCGGTGCTCATCTCCGTTTCAAAGCCAAAGAGCCAGCCCTGTCCAAAGACATCTCCGTGGTCATGTGGCTGGCATGACTAAATGCCAAAGGCGCACGGAACGCTGTTCCCTTCCCACCAAAGGTGGTCCTTATTTTTCTACTTGCATTTTTTACCTGCTTTCGAACTGCTAGGTTGGCAGAAGCTGGGAAAAGTCACGGAAGCTCACCCCGTTATGCGGCACTAGGGATTTGAACTGTTGAACTGCTGACCTTTCAATCTACAAGTTCAGTGTCTTAGCCACTGAGCCACCACGTCCCTTTTCCAAACATATTCCCACACAAATCTCTATTGTTCTGGGGGGTTTTGTTTTTGTTTTCAAATTCCGATATTTCTATTTCTCTTTTTGGCTGAAATCATTGATGTGTTTTGATTAAACAAGGACTTCTCCTGTTGCTTTCTTTTTCAAGTCAATGTTGGAGAAGATTGCCCTGTGTTTGATGGACTGTTTGAATTCTGTCAACTTTCTACAGGAGGGTCTGTTGGTAAGAAGCAATCGCAATTTTAAAAATAAAAACCTCAAAGGATGTACCCTACTAACTGCACTGCTTGTTCTACTGAGGACCTCACTTTCATTATGGAATTGCAGACTGTGTGTTCTGACATCTGATTCCTGCTCCTTTTAGGCCAAGCGATGATGTGCAAAGTTGCTCTGAATTTAAAATGTCCCTTTGAATGCAAAGTATTTCAGACATTTTGGAAAAATGTCAGGATATTAATACAGGTACTCTCAACTTAGAACCACAATGGGGCCTTGTTCTGTTGCTGAACAAGGTGGTCATTAAGTGAGTCAGGTCCAATTTTATGACTTTTTTTGCCATAGTTAAGCAAATCTCTGCAGCTAAATGAATCACATGGTTATTAAGCCAATCTGGCTTTCCCCATTGGCTTCGCTTGTGGGAAGCCAACTGGAAAGGTTGAAAATGGTGATCACATGATTTGGGATGCTAAACCATCATAAATATATGCCTGTTGCCAAGCCCCCAAATTTTGATCATGTGATCATGATGATGGTGCAAGGACTAGTCATAAGTTACTTTTTTCAGTGTCATTGTAACTGAACAATTGATTGTAAGTCAAAGACAGCCTGTTGTCCTCTCAAGCTCACAAAAGCTTATGCCTTTTAAGAAAATTTGTTAAGATGGAAAAGAGGCTATCAGAATCCTGATTTTTTAAAATCCTCCTATTAAGCATTTTGCTAAAGCAGCTGTTTTGAGCTTGAGACATTCTGTTTCATGCTCAGATCACTTTCAAAATGCTCAAAACAGCTGTTTCCACACAGAAATGAAGTGTTTTGGATTCAGAATAACTCTCATCAAAATGTTTTGTACATTTCACATGATAAATTCACGGATGAATGTTTCTAGAGAACGTTTTCTCTCATGCTTCCATGGATAGTAATCTCAGAATAGTATTTGTACAGATCTGGATAAATATTTAGGGATTTATGCATCCCCGAATCCAGAGCAAATTCCCTTGGTGTCTGCCAGCTTCTCTGCCTTCTCTGATTTTGATCTTTTTAGATTATTTTAATTAAAAAATAATCTGGAAAATAATAGCAAGCCAGAGCATAAAGTATAATGATGTCTTCTGGTATCATTGTAATTTGTAAAAACACCTGTGATCCACATACTTGTTCCAGGGGTGAAATCCAAAATTTTTCCCTACTGTGGGATTGGCTTGGTGGGTGTGGCAAATATTGCAAAATCTCCATTTCCACCCCACTCCAGAGAAAGGATACTGCAAAATCCCCATTCCCTCTCCACTCCTGGGGGAAGGATATTGCAAAATTTCCATTTCCACCCCACTCTGGGGCCAGCCAGAGGTGGCATTTGCCAGTTCTCCGAACTGCTCAAAATTTCCGCTACTGGTTCTCCAGAACCTGTTAGAACCTGCTGGATTTCACCCCTGACTTGTTCTCTGAGCAGACTTAGAATTTAAAAATGGCTGAGGCAGCTGTCATGCTAGTCTCTAAAAGTATGTCCCCCTGCTGGGAAAAAAATCAATTTGAATCACTTGGAGCAATAAAGACCATACTGGCTGGCTAAATAAGGGAGGAGCAATCAGCGTTTTCCCCTTGGGTCTCCTTGGTGTCCATTTTGTGAGAGCGTCTACAGCTGTTCTCAAGTTGCACGCTTGCCCACCTGCCCAAAAGAATTGCCCACTTTTGCCCAGATCTTAAATGATTCTCAAAACAGGGAGAACTGGAAAGATTGGTCTTTTGACATTTTGTTGTTGCTCAGTCGCTAAGTTGTGTCAGACTCTTTGTGACCCCATGGACTACAGCAAGCCAACCCCACCCCACCTCACTGTCCTGGAATCTGCCCAAACTCACGACTACTGTGTTGATGACCCTGTCTAACCATCCCATCCTCTGCCGTCTCCTTTTTTTTACCCATTCCTTATATAACGTCTCATGTTTCATGAACATGAATGACATTGTTGGCCTGAAGTGGGGAAGGTAGCGTGGGATGTGCCCCTCCTATCCCCTGACCTGCATAACAAGGCCTGACCAGGAGTGTTCCTTGTGTCTGCTTAGAACAGTGTTTCTCAACCTTGGTAGCTTGAAGCAGCGCTGGCTGGGGGATTCTGGGAGTTGAAGTCCACCCATCTTCAAGTTCCAAGGTTGAGAAACACTGGCTTAGAAGGAAGGAAAATCCTCAGCATTGGGAATCTTGTTTCATCTAGCCTGTAACTCTCTGTCAGAACTTAATACTCCGAAAAATCAGGGTTTGGAGAGGATTGTGACCAACACGGCTGATCCTGCCTCAGTAGCACACTTTGAGAACATATGAGCTGAGGAGACTGACTCAGGAGGATAGACTGCATATGCCTTTAGACGGGTGCATGATTCTCAAATAAATGGGTGTAAAGAGGTCATAGTTCCAGGCTTTGTAATTTGCACATCTGTTTTGGAGAGTAGCATTTTATCATGAGTTAGATAGTTACGACAGTTGTACCCCAGCACAGCACTTGGAAATAAGTGGTTGAAATCTTGGGGCCAAGTAACACAGGAGGGCATGTATTGTGAGAATGTCCATTCTTACTTACTGAAACCTAATACTATCCATCTGACTTCAGAAGCCGAGGGCATCACTCTGTGAGACCCATATTCTGGGTTCTTGTAAGTGTATACAGTCAGTTGCTTAATGACTGTTTGAAGTTACGATCAACCCCCAAAAAGGGATGTCCAGAGTTTGAAGTTCTGATGGCTATCCTTCCCGCCATGGTCACGTGATTTTGTGGGTGCTCGGCAACCAGCTTGCATTTACAACTGATCATGATTTACAACTTTTTTTCCACAGAAACTGGGGTTTACTTCTAGTTTCCAGCAAAAAAAAACAAAAAACCTCCTAATGACTTTGGTGCTTGTTTAATGACTGCTGCAAAAAAAAATATATCGTAAAATCAGATATAGTCACATGATAACCCACTTAACGATCAGCATGTCTTACAATTGTATTCTGGGCTCACTGACGATTCTAACTCAAGGACTACCAGTTGCATAGTTTCTGTTGATTGTCAATCCTGGGCATCTTGTGCCAAGCCAAAAGATCTCCAACTGTTGAAATGGCAGCCTCCCCTTTGTCCTTAATAGTGGGGAGTCTGCAGATCTCTAAATCAGGGGTAGGCAACTGTGGCCTTTTTACAACCTGTGGACTTCAACTCCCAGAATTCCTGAGCCAGCTTGGCTGTCTCAGGAATTCTGGGAGTTGAAGTCCACTGGTTGTAAAAGGGCCACAGTTGCCTACCCCTGCTCTAAATGGTACCAATAGAGGAGAATATTTGTAGTTTGGGGTCCTTGGTGCTCTCTTGATGGTTTTCTTAACAGATGTTTCATTACCAAACTAGATAACATCATCAGTACACTCTGAATGGGTCTGGTTGTGATGGCTGCTTTGTCATCTCTGCTCTCTCACTTGTTTGAAATTCTCTCCCCAGCAAGTGCAGTGAAACTAAACAAGCAACAGACAGACATCGCGGTGAACTGGGCTGGAGGCTTGCATCATGCCAAGAAGTCAGAGGCTTCTGGCTTCTGTTACGTCAATGATATCGTCCTGGCTATCTTAGAATTGCTAAAGTATGTGAAACTGCCACTTTATATTCTGGACATAAATGAGATCGTCATCTTTATGGGACACTTTAGGATGTGTGGACTTCAACTCCCAGCATTCTCCAGCCAAGCATGCTGGCTGGGAAATTTTGGGAGTTGAAGTGCACACAATGGCCAAGGTTAAGAAACAGTGCTTTATATTCTGGATCTGAATGAAATCCTCACCTTGTCAAAAATACCATATTCATCCTGTTCAGGATAAGCTGCTCGGATAGGGAAATCTCTGAGATGCTTTGCTCTCGTTTTAACCATCATGAAGGGAATTTATGTAGGAGACAGCCACAGGCCACAGATTTGAATGGGCAAGTCCAAGAAGGATTATTTGGTCCAAGAATGGCTTTCAGTGGGCATTTAGAGGAATCCCTGGAGTTTTGCAGAATCTGAGCCCAGCATGAAGCTGAGTCTTGATGGATAGAGATGGATGCTTTGTGATGCAGTTTTGCTCTCCACTCATTCTGATGGCCAAAAGGGACGCTTCCAATTGTGTTTCAGGAATGCATCCTTTTAAAAGGACCCACCCTGACACTCAAAACAGCCTGGGTGCGGAATGTGGAAACAAGATCCTTGGCAGCTACTCAGCTTCCCTAAGAGGCGGATTGATGACAGTAATTATTTCTGGAAATGAAGGAAGAGGAAACATCTCCCCCATATAGGATTCAAACGCATAGAACATATTCATCACCCTGGCTGTGTAATTTTCAGCAGTTAAGGGTGCCCTTAGGTCTCTGGCAGCTGTTTCCACCTTTCCTGGCCCCTTGGTATTATCTCGGGATGACCGTTTGAAACCTCACCAGGCTGTCAATCACGCAAGCTTTTAAAGCCTAGTGTGGCTTTGGGGACTGAATTTTAAAACGTGATAATTTTGGGTTTACTTTTGGGGGGTGGGGGGGGGAATGTCTATGTTCCTCATGGCTGAACTTTGTTTTTGAGGTGCCAGCCTGACATCCCTTTGCAACCTCAGGTACCACCAGAGAGTGTTGTATGTTGACATCGACATCCACCATGGTGATGGTGTGGAGGAAGCCTTCTACACCACAGACCGTGTCATGACAGCGTCCTTCCATAAGTATGGGGAATATTTCCCAGGAACTGGGGATCTGCGGGTGAGAATGGGAACAGGAGATGCATCTTCCTGGGCATCCAGCTCGCACACTTTCCAGGCCCTGTTAGTAACAGAGCTTTGCATGACCCTCTCTCCTTCTAAAACAAGATGATTCACGTTCTCTGGGTCAGTGGTACTAACACCTATTCCCAAATTGAAAAGTTTAATGCAACAGAAATTATGTCACAAATGTTAGTGAATGGAAGAAAGAGAGTAATCTCATTAGTTTTATTGACTGAAATAAACTCCGATGATAACATCTGGCTGATGTTGTTTCAACTCAAAAGCTAGGTCAATTAGACCCTCAAATCCCAGATCTGTGCTCTAGATTGAAAGACATCCCAGAAATTTTCCAAAAATTACATGAGCATCTCCATTAATCCTCAGGAGTCGTCTTTGACTTGAAAAGGACAACAGCTTGTTTAAAGAACTTGTCTTTCTCATTTCCTTCTTAGAGTGCAGCCTTCTGTATACTAGGGAGAGCATGGCCTTTGTCCTAGAAAAAACTGTGTATGCCTCCAGGGGTGTGCAAAATGTTTTTAGATTAAAATTTATTTATTCTATGACTGCCTTTCCCAGCCAAGTGACTCTGGGCAGCTTACAATTCTAAAACAATAAAACAACGGAAATACAGCCTTGTTGAGTTTGAAACAGATCAGACATTTCTGGGAGAGTTGAGATGCTCCATTCCTCTTCCTGTGTATTTATTGATTATTAGATTCAAGGTCACCTCTTTAAAGATGGGCTCTGACTCGGGTCTCCCTTAGGATAGTCTGACACCTTAACCCAGTGTTTCTCAAACTTGACAATTTTAAGATGTGTGGACTTTAATTCCCAGAATTCTTCAGCCAGCATGTTGTGTTAAAGTTCACACGTTAGCATTGGCTGGGGAATTCTGGGAGTTAAAGTCTATGCATCTTAAAGTTGCTAAGGTTGAAGAAACATTGCCTTAATTACTACACTAAACAGGCTTTCCTTTCTATGAAAAACTAAATTACCTGAGAAATACATTGTTTTGGCTTAAGAAATTGAGGGAACCCTGCAAGCATAATGTGAGTCGTAGAGTGCTCATCTCTGTCAAGATATCACCCCCTCCCTCCGGGAAATAGCTTGCTCTTACAGCTCTAAGGGAGCCAAAGAAGCTTGTGGACCAGTGGTGGGTTGCTCCCGGTTCAGCCCGGTTCAGCTGAGCCGATAGCGGTGACGCTATTACGTCACTGAACCGGTTCTCTTTCTTCGGGAGCTGGGCCCTCCTGCCCACCCCCGCGTTATTCCAACCTTATATAATTTCTTTTTTCGCCCAGCTGAGAGGTGCGGTAGAGTGGATTGCTGCACCTCAGCTGGGCAGATTCGCAACGTGCTTGCACAAACCGAAGAGGCGATTGCGCGCAAAGCACGTGCACCAAGAGAACCGGTAGTAAAGCTGGTTAGAATCCACCCCTGTTGTGGACAATCCCTTTAGGATGTTCTGGGTGACATGATAAGGGTGTGCCATTGTTGGGCTGCAGGGCCTCTGTGAGCATCAGAATACCAACAGTCCCTGACTTGGGCATCCTCTGAAAGTGGCCCCAGCTAGTATTTCAAAAGCCGTCTTTTCTTCTTCCTAAGGATATTGGTGCGGGTAAAGGAAAATATTATGCTGTCAACTATCCTCTCCGGGATGGGATCGATGATGAGTCTTATGAAGCCATTTTCAAGCCGGTAAATGTCTTAGTCCTTGAATGCTTCTAGTTCATTTTGCAGGTGCTGCAGTTGCCTTGCTCAACTTTGCAGGCTTTGCAGATTGTGGAGGAAGTTGTAACTTCTAGCAGTGGGGATCAAAGGATCTTTGATGTCCTCTCCAACCTAGAAGAGCGGGGAAGGGGTGGGAGAACCCAATTTTTCAGGGATGAAAGAGCAAGTTTCAGACTACCTGTTCAGCACCTGGTCTTCTTCAGGTCCTGTTGGTGGGAGGAGATGGGAGGCTTGTCCCTGATCTGCATGGAAGCATAACGTGAGATTGGAGCTCCAGGTGGCTTCCATTGGGGAATAGGCTCTGTCGAAGGCATTGGGCTGGCTTTTCCACCTCTGCCAGAGGTTGTGGTGAAAAGAAAGGGGTCCTGATGGTGACGCTTCAGGTTCTATGCATTTGCTACATTATTACCACACTCAGGTGTTTGTTTTTACTGGCTAGGTGATGTCTAAAGTGATGGAGACGTTCCAGCCGAGTGCCGTTGCACTGCAGTGTGGCTCAGATTCTTTATCAGGGGACAGGTTGGGTTGTTTTAATCTGACCATTAAAGGTAAGAGGGGTTTCTTGGAAGGGGGCGAGTGGTGACTTATTCAGGGCGTCCTCAGGATGCTTTGCTGGTCAAAATCAACTGTGTGTCCTCTGAGGGGCCTCTCAATGTTTTGCAGGAGTGCAAGGAGCATCTTTGAAGGTTGGATATTTGTGTTTTATGGCACAATGAGAATCAAGGGTTCTCTTTGACACAAGGTGCTCTGAAATGCATCTCTTCCCATTGTTTCGTGGCTCACTTGGGTTGTTTCGCTCCATCATCATTCTGCTGATTTGTTGCTAAATGGAAGCTCACTTCCAGCAGACTGATGCTCTTCCTTCCCCCAGGTCATGCCAAATGTGTGGAGTTCATCAAAAGCTTTAATTTGCCCACGCTGATGCTGGGAGGTGGCGGCTACACGATCCGTAATGTGGCCCGGTGTTGGACGTACGAGACGGCTGTGGCATTGAACACAGAGATCCCGAATGGTATGGGGGAGCCTTGTTTAGCTCACCTGGGGAGGGGGGCATGGTCAGGTCCTCAGGGAATCCCAGCAGCCAGGTGAATCAGGGCAGCTGCTGAGCTGCTTGAGACTTACAGAGCCAAGCATCAGAAAACCAGCCAGCCCTGGGACTTGGGGTGAGTCTCTGGTAAAGATCAGAGTTACACTTAGAAGATGAGTTTAAGGCTTGCCCAGCATCAATATTTGTGGTGGAATCTGGCGCTGAGTTGCAGGAGGAGAGGGGTCTTTCACAAGGAGCTAAGAGACAAATCAGCCTTGAATCCTTGGTATGCAGAAAGAGGCCCTGGAAGGATCCTCTCTAAAACGTCAGGAGTTATCTGATAATTCTGCGGAGTAGAATTCTCTGCACAATTCTGTGTTTTGGTCTGGTCTGGCAAGATTCCTGTCTATGAGCGAACAGCAATAAAGAAACTATTCTGAGCAATTCGTTGTGTCGGTTTTCTGGTTCCTTGTGCCTGAGTCTTGATGCTAAGGGAACTGTGATACTACTTAAGAAATGCGTGGTAATTGCCAGTGGACATCGTTTTAGGTTTATTTGTTAATTTTACAGGAGCCAAAGTGCATTTTGCGTAATCTCCAGTTTTCTGGCAGCATCAGTCTTCTGCTTTGGTTGGGCTAGAAAGGCATGCCAGTCCCCAAAGAACCTTTTATGATCCCGTGATTATTTGATTCTGCACTTTCTTCAGTGCCATTTTGAGGCCGTGGATGCCGCCTTTGTGGCTTCCCTCCATGTTCCTTTGAATTGTCCTGATGCAGGTTTAACACCCTAACCTCCATGCTTTGAACGCTTCCACAGAGCTTCCTTACAATGATTACTTTGAATACTTTGGCCCGGATTTCAAACTCCACATCAGCCCTTCCAACATGACCAACCAAAACACCAACGAATACCTGGAAAAGATAAAGTAAGCGCGTGCATTTATTTTGGGGGCAAGGGGGTAGATTTCTGCTGAAGGGCCTCTGCTTGAATCTGATTACTCGGTTGCAGGCAACGTCTCTTTGAGAACCTGAGGATGCTCCCCCATGCCCCTGGTGTGCAGATGCAGCCAATTCCAGAGGATGCCGTGCCGGAAGAGAGTGGCGATGAAGAGGAGGAAGATCCTGACAAACGGATTTCCAGTGAGTGCCAAGCCCAGAGGGCTCTTTTCTTTCAGCTGAGGGATTTTAGAAAGATGCCTCTCAAATAAATGCTGAATATCGCTTACTCTTTTTCTTCCATCATCTTGCACCACCTTCCTCTGCTCCATCTGTATTGAGTGTATTTAGATCTTGCGGGAAGAGATTTGAAAATTGGACTGTTTTTTTACTAACTTCTAGGCTAGGATTTCTCAAGCTTGGGAACTTTAAGATGTGTGGACTTCAACTCCCAGAATTCCCCAACCAGCAAGTCCATGCATCTTAGTTGTCAAGGTTAACTTTCCTTTCCTTTCCTTTCCTTTCCTTTCCTTTCCTTTCCTTTCCTTCCTTTCCTTTCCTTTCCTTTCCTTTCCTTTCCTTTCCTTTTCCTTTCCTTTCCTTTCCTTTCTTCCTTTCCTTTCCTTTCCTTTCCTTTCCTTTCCTTTCCTTTCCTTTCCTTTCCTTTCCTTTCCTTTTCCTTTCCTTTCCTTTCCTTTCCTTTCCTTTCCTTTCCTTTCCTTTCCTTTCGAAAATCAATCTTGTTTTCTTTGTCCTTGATTATTCCTGGTGCCCTGTTTCATGGTCAGGGCACTCAGTATCATCATTTTACTGGTGATTGGTCATTTATGATCTTTGATGACTGGAGAGGGCCCACCACAACACAGTGTCTTCTAGTGCTTCATCACGGATACCCTTCAATGTCCATGTTCCATGCTTCAAGTGGCTAAGTTTTATTTGATGAATACTAATAGGACTGGCTGTTTCTGGCAGAGCAGACTGCAGCCTTATTGATTTATGTCTCTGTTGTTTCATGCTTCAATTACGGTAATCGTCTACTGGCTTGCAGTCCTGATTCCTCCTTGGCCCTGAGGGGTGCCATTTGGGACCCTCCACACTTCTCTTGCACTGCCCTGACACCGCCAGGCTCTTCACTGGATCTGCACTTTGATCCAAAGCCCAGATTCAATTGAAGGGGTGGAGTTTTAGCCCTCTGATTACAGTCTTCTCTTCTGCCCCATTTCTCCCACCACTGTCTTGTTCGCTCCCTATGTTCCCTTAGCAGTTTTATTGTTAGCTTAATGGCTTTTCAAAGGGATTTAATATATAGTAGTATAGCCTTTATTGTCATTGTACATCATGTATACAACGAAATTGGTTTTAGCCTCACTGGTGCAATCCATGACAAAAAATACAAACAACATAAAGAATATAAAGAATAATCCCTATGCAAGTAATCAAGGGGAAAAAAAGAAAAAGAAAGAAAAAGAAAAACTAGTCATACGTTTCCGCGTGGAGAGATTGTGGTTGTGTTTAAGAGTCTGAAAGACCTTTTTATTTGACTGAGAAGTTACTCTGGAGTCTGTTTATCTCACCCTGTTCTTGTTAATGGTGGCAATTCCCAGGCTGGTACCTGTTTTAGTTTAATTGCAGTGGCATATGTACTCGAGATCCTGTAGGAATTTGCTTTAAATCGGTATGGGGGTTGTGTTTGGATTTATTTTACCTGTGAATAGTTGCTTCATTGGATTTTTTTGTTCGGGGATTATTTATCCTGGATGGAATTTTTGTGATTACTGAGTCATTTTGACTTGCACTGCACCTTGGGAAAACTGTGTAACCAATAAAAATAATAATAGTCATTTTTATTTTTGAAATCAGCGTTTTAAAATGTTATGCCTTATAAAACACAGTCTCTATGGATGGTCAGTATTATTACTGGTGGTGTTATCCTGCCTTTTTATTTTTATCCAGCTATCTCATGGTGACAAACATACCTAACACTTCTTCCTCCTTCTATTTTCCTCACAACAACAACCTGAGCCTGGTGGTGCAGTGGACTAAGTGCTGTTAAAGTAGCATTTAAGTTGCCAGCTGCCTGCAATTACTGCAAATTCAAATCTCACCAGGCTCAAGGTTGACTCAGCCTTCCATCCTTTCGAGGTAGGTAAAATGAGGACCCGGATTGTGGGGGCAATAAGCTGACTTTGTATAAAAAAGAACATCGCTTGGGGGGGCCCGAAAGCCCTACTAAGCACATATATACAAAAGTATGAAGGCTATTGCTTAACGCATAAGCCGTTATAAGCCGCCCTGAGTCTCCGGAGAAGGGCGGCTTATAAATCTAACTAACTAACTAATAAATAAATAAATAAACCCTGTAAAGTGGGTTAGGCTGAGAGAGAGGGACTGGCCCAGAGTCACACAGCTGGCTTTCATGCCAAAGCAGGGCTAGAACTCAGAGTCTTCAGGTGATTGGCCCAAAGTCACTCAGCCAGCTTTCATGCCCATGAGAACTGTAGGAATCTTCTGGTTTTTAGGCCTTCATTACTACACTAAACTGACTCTTAGTTTAGGGTTTAAATTAGGGTTTTTAATCTCAGCGTCCTTGTGTGTTGACTCCCATCTTTCCTTGTGGAAAAGTCAGTTTTTGTCAATGCACTAATGGATGGATGTCTAAGGACGAAGACTTAACTTCTTGAAGAAAAAATAGAATAATTCTAGCCTTCCTCCTGCTCTGTATGAAACCTAAAGCCACTAACGTCCTTTTCTGCTTCTCTCTCCCCACAGTCCGCTCTTCGGACAAGAGAATCGCCTGCGAGGAGGAATTCTCGGACTCGGAGGACGAAGGGGAAGGGGGTCGCAAAAACGTTGCCAATTTCAAGAAGGCTAAACGGTCAAAAACAGAAGAAGAGGAGAAGGAGGAGGAGGAGAAGAAAGGTAGCTATTTATTTGTGGGGCAGTACTTTTCATCCTGCCTGATTGGTAGAATGTGCTTATTACAGGGAGGAACACCACCCCCACCCCCACCCCCACCCCCACCCCCAGAAATTAGTGGCACAGCTGACTTTTCCAGCAAGACCTCTAATTTCCCATCCAGTGAGAACTAGCTCCGCTTTGCCCTTGCAGAAATTCCATGCTGAGCCTCAATGTTTGTTTTGACCTTCTGGACTAAAACTCTGTGGTTGTACTATCTGAGTAGGTGCAGATTGTTTGTTTTTAAGCAGTGACAAGTTATCACCTCTATATTTTAACTTTTGGCTTGTATCCTGTTAGGAGTACAAGTAATTTTTTATTTTATGACCGTAATGGAGGCTGCCCAGACATCTGCCCCAAAATAATACATTTATGAGAAAGCTTCAAGGTACAAACCTCATTATGAAAATGAAGCAGTTTCCTCCTATTTATATTACCATTTAAGGTAGTATGCACTATTTACTTGTTAGGTTAGAGTTCTAATGTAATCTCTTCAATCATCACTGGCTTTCCAGTTAGTCTTTGATATCTCCTGGTGCCCACATGAATTCCACAGCTAAGATTGTTCACTTTCACAAGGAAAAAAATACAGATCAACTAGCCAAATTGTTGTCCTTCTGCCCTCAGTGTCCATAATAGCCTTAGAAAATGATTAGGGAGGATGGTCAATTTTGGGTTTGGTGCACAAGGAATAGGAATAGGAATTGAATCGAATCGAATCAGAGTTGGAAGTCTTCTAGTCAAACCCCCTGCTCAGGCAAGAAACCATACATTATTTCAGGCAAATTGAGCTACACAGTTGTGAAAACTCAAGCTGAGCTGGGCCACCTGTCTCCCCGTGCCTTCTCTCTCTTTCAAATATGATTTGTTGTGGTCCGCCGGCAGCCTGCGGAGCTGGCAGCAGAGTCGGACAGTGAGGAGGCTGGGGAGGACAATGGGCCAGTCCTGGTCAGGGGAAGGCTCGGATGAGGGCTCTGCATTGGAGGCAGAGATGGGGCCAGGGCCATCTGGGAGTTATGTGCTGCCTCAAGCCTCCAGAGTTGGACATCAGCGAGGCAGAGGAACAGGGGGAGCCTGTTCCCAGTGCGTGCAGGCGCAGAGCTGCCAGAAGGCAAGAATAATTAAAACAAAAGGGACGACTCAGGAGTAGGGCTTGGAGATGATTGGCCCCTCCCATAAGACATAAAGGAGGAGCAAAGGCACATGAGCCTTTGCAGGAAGCAACTTTGCTCATGCTGGTCGGTTTAAATTCTGAAGCTCCATTTTGGCCTTGCTCCGTGTGGCCTTGCAAAGCTAATTGCCAATTAGGTCTTTGGCAGCGTGTCAAGGGAGATAAAGGTGGGTGCTTATCAGCCTTATCCAGCCTTATCCTGAAGGACTGTGGCAGATTTCTGTCTCTTTAGCAACTCTTTGTGACTCATTACGGGCTGTGAATGAGCAATAATTCACAGCCGTTGAAATAAAAAGAGAGTTTTTGGGATTAACCGTGTCCTTTTTACTGTCTCAGGAAGCCTAGGTCAGAACATGACTGGTACTTTTTCCAAAAGTCGACTGGACCCTCTTGGGGTTTTTTCCCCCTTTGAAAACATTTTTTCCCCTTTGAAAACATTTCCTTTCTCATCCAAAAAGCTGCCTCGGTTCTTCTTCATTTTTTAGTTCTTCTTCAGTTCAAAACCGAGGAAGCTTCTTGGATGACAAGGGAAATGTTTTCAAAGGACACCCACAGCATGTTAAAGGATGCCTCTGTGTGTGTGTGTCCATCCTATAACTGAGAGAAACAGGGTTATGTGTTCCTTCCTACAGAAGTACACGAGGAAGAGAAGAGAAAAGAAGAACCCACAGAGGCCAAAAGGTGAGAGATCCTGGGACGCAGTTAGGTGTCACCTCTGGAAATGTCTTTCTGTAGCCTCCAGACCTGGTTCCTCCTCCTCCTCCTCTAATGGAAGCCTTGTCCCATGTGCATGAAAGTGCTCCCTTCCCTGTAGCCAGGCTGTCACTGTTCATGCAAAAAGGAAGCTGGAAATTTGGGGAGGCAGCTTCTCTGGGGCTGGTTTGGGCATTGCAAAAGACAAGGATCCATTCCTGATGTTAGTAGAGATGAAAAGTTTGCTCAGTAAATTTAGAAATGAGAATTGGCTTTCCCCCCCGACACTTCCTAAGCTTATATTTTGGCCCGTTTATTTCTCCAACAGCATAAAGGAAGAGGTGAAATCCACCTAAGAAACGTTGGACAGCTGGGGAACACCACACTTCCCTGGTTCTCTGATTCAGCACTCTGGTCCCCTCCCTATACCACAAGATTTGTATTTTATATGTTTGTGTTGATTATTTCTGTAAATCTATGGGGGACTTGAGAGAGACCTGGCTGCCCTCCCCTAGGTGAGCTGCCAGGAAGGCCCGGAACCTGCTTATCCAAGGGAGTGCCATTTACGAGATTCCTACTTCTCACGTCCCCCTTGCTTTTGCATTGGGGAGATTTGTGTGTTTTCTTTTGGAAAGCAAACCCCAAACTTCCCTTTGCTTTGTCCTTGCTTGTGTTTTTAAAGGATGATTCTCTTCTTGGAGAAGTTAATTTTTCAGGGGAAAGCTAGTCATCCACTCTCCTTTTCTTTTACTAGTTTTATGAGGTATGGATACAGCCATAAAACTCTGGAAGAGTTGGGGGGGTGGGGGGGGAGGTGGAGCCCAGAATTCTAAGCCATCTTACCCGTTTGTAAACCTTGGAAGGGTTGATCCCTTTTGAGGAACCATGAATGTAAACCATGGTTTATTTCCCCAACACCTCTTGACAAGTCCCTCTAGGGGTATCAGCTCTGGAGTTGCAGGGGAGGCTCTGATCTCATCCTGCTTGTAGTAGGAAAAATCCAGGGGTTCCCCCTTTGGAGCCAGGAGCGTATCTAGATGTCTCCGTTAGCGATGCCATTTGAGTTTTGTGATCCCCGATCCCCTTTTTAAAAATTGCCTTGGGGCTTTTGCTTATGAGCAAACACGAGCCTCGAGGGGCCCTTAGGAAAAACCACCCTGTGGCAGGATGGTTCTATAGAAGGGCACCTTCCTAAAACAAAGAAACCAGCCCAAGCCTGCTCCCTGTTCCTGAATTGCGTATTTCCATATTGGAGCATTGGCTCCAATAGGCTTGCAGGTAGGGCGAGGTTTCCAGGGAACCAAGGAAGTGGGAGATAGAACAGAATGTCACTGTTTGGGGTTGACCCCAGCAATGCTGCTAATTTGCCATGTCACTCAGTGGTGGAGGGGGGGAAGAGGTGGGGTTTTATTTTTTTAAGCCTTTTTTTTAGTTGCTTGGATGCAAATGCCCTCCAGTTGTTCTTACTCTTTGATACTTGTATTGGTGAAATAAAAGATCATTGTATTTGTGTGTTTTGGGGGTGGGGGGTGGGAATATATATATATATATATACATACAGATATATATACATATATACATATATATATATATATATATATACACACACACACACCACAATTTATATTATATATATATATATTATATTATATATATATATATATATATATATATATATATAATATATATATATATATATAGTTTTTTTTAAATAAAAGCTTTTATTTTCATTTTTGCAGGGAAAAAAATCTTTGTAATAAAATGGATCTGTTTTTCTGTTTTTGGCGGTGAATTCTTGCAGGCAGGGAAGTATATCACCACTGGAGCAGCAGCACATTTGAATATCCTCCAAGATTTCTTTTGCTCTGGGATACCCAGCCTCAGTGGGGTAAAGAATTGCTGCACAGGGCACATGGTTCACATGAAACAGATTCATTTTCTAGGCTTTTTCCCCTTTCTCACCCCGGAAAAGTCCTGCCTTATTTATTTGTCCAATTTATATGCCGCCCTTCTCCATAGACTCAGGGCGGCCTACAATGCATTATAGCAATAGCCTGCATACTTTTATGTATATACCTGCTTATTAGGGCTTTTGCCCACCCCCTAAGGAGTGTTGTTCTATACAAAGCTGGCTTATTGCCCCCACAATCAATTTACCTACCTCGAAAGAATGGAAGGCTGAGTCAACCTTGAGCCTGGTGAAATTTGAACTCGCACTAATTGCAGGCAGCTGGCAGCTAAGTGCTAGCACTTAATAGGACTTAGTTTGCTGCACCGAGGCTCTTTATCATCCTTGAGGAGGATGCAGCCTAGAATTTGGTACATGTATCCAGGGAGGGCACAGGAGATGGTGGGAATCATTAAGATGGAATGATCTATGGAAGTAATGTGCGGACAACATGGAAGTGCAGCTGGTAATAGTATGGGCTCCCTCCCTTTAGGGAGAAAAGGGTTACTGACAACAGATGCTACTTGCTTCTAGACCAGTTTCTCAACCTTGGTAGCTTGAAGATGGGTAGACTTTAACTCCCAGAATCCCCCAGCCAGCGCTGCTGGCTGGGGGATTCTGGGAGTTGAAGTCTACCCATCTTCAAGCTACCAAGGTTGAGAAACACTGGTCTAGACCAAGGCTGTCAAACCCCTGGCCCATGGGCCAGATGCGTCAGGCGCTGGTCACGCCCACACTATTTAGCGAAGGGAAAAGTCCCAATAAGTCACGTGATGCCGCTGTGACATGAGTTTGACACCCCCATTCTAGACACAAATACGTAAAACAGCTGGGAGGTTCTGGGTTCTAGCAAATTTGGGGAACTGTAGTGGCCTTCTCAGGTGTGGCACATTCTGAAACACTCTAAAGAGGCAGCGCAGTATACCAATTGTGCCAAACTATGGTTTACTTAAAAAGCAGCTTGCATATACATGTTACTTTGCACCTAAATGGGGGTGTGCGTGTCTGCCCACAGCCTTACGTGCAGAATGCCACTCCCCCAGCTTTTCAATACCTCCAACTTTTGATGTTTCCCATGCGCTGCTTGCCACACTGAAGCATTTCAGCAGTGTTGTGTATCATCAATTTTGCTTCTGGGACATGGTGGTTTGAAAGGTGCTCAAGAGCCAGGCATTTTCCAGTTTCTGTTGTGAAATTGACCAGATTGGGGCAGGGAAATTGACTACACTGAGGAGAGCACTCAGGAAATCAAGAGGATAAATGGGCACCTGTTTTTTTGTTTCTCTGGAGGAAACAATGGTGCACACTTGTCTGTGCTGGCAGAGCAGCTGAAACTGGATTAAAAATGTGCAAAAGTGGTATGAACACGGGGACCAGGATGTGTGCCCACAAAAATTCAATATATTGGTAATCTCCCATGCTCCTGCAGCTGTGCCCAACACACCCCATTTAAGCTTTTGTTCTGGCTGCTTAGTGGCTGCTGCATCTACAGTAATTTTTTTTTAATGCAGAGTATTCAGAACATTTAGATCAAGTATGGCTAAGAAGCTGAACTAGGAGGAGAGAACTCGGGTTCAAGATGCACCCTAGTAACTTGGGTTAGTCAACAGGTTTGATGTGAGACAGAATGGGGGTGGGTGGGTGAAGGTAGAAGTCCAATTCAAGATTCTTCTTGTGTCTTCAACTTCTGAGGAAAAGGTGGGATAGGAATCTAGCAAGTCTCTGGTACTTATCATTTGAAGCCAATTTCCTTCAGATTCTCCATCAACATCTCTACTGGAAGGAACAAGAAAATGGGGTTTTTTTTGTCTGTAGTTTCCACCCAAGAACTCTTTATCACAAGGCTGGTGCTTCTCAACTTGCCTAAAGAGCAAACCAGCTGGGAAGAATGAGCTAAAAACACTTTTAGCACTTACATCACCATTTTACTTGAATCCCGGAAGAATTGGTGGCCTAATAAACAACTGTTTGCCAACCATTATGGCCTATTCTCTAAAGACCAGGAATTGTTTTGTTAGAGGACAGCATTGCAGCTGCTTCTCACAGCAGGTAACTAAAGGCCAAAATACTTCACCAAATTCACCCATGTCCTGCTTGCACCCCAAATTGCCAGCACAGTAGGAGCGTCCAGATTCCTTAAGGTTGATCAAAGACCCTGAATGGCTTTTGAAAACTCATCTGCCACCAGCATGTGAGTTGCAAGGTTTAGTTGTAACCATTAAAAAAAAGAACATTTTGGGCGTGGCAAGTTGCTTTATTCAAAAAAACCAAGCCCCAAAAACAAACTTCCTGATTTCGTTGGTGGCTGCTGGAGTTGGAAGAATTAGCATTAGTCCTCCATAGTCCGATGTACTCCTGAAACATTGCACTACACCTCCTATCACCCTCAGCCAACACATGCTATAGCTTGTCTTATCATGCTTTCTAAGGGCACACGAGTGCTGATCAGCAAAATATTCTCTTCCCACTTGCTCGCTGGCTCTTCCCCGAAGTCGGAAGGTTTGCAAGAATTAAGGCAAAAAGCCAATATATAAATAGACAAATCTATGATGAAATACACAAGAATGCTTAGCCATTCCTGTCCCCAAACAAGACCTGGCAAGCCAATTAGAATAGGTGCTGAGCTGAAGACTTACCAAAATAACCAATTACTTTGATGCTGCTTGATAACCTATCTTGCTTTCTAGAATCTCCCACCCCACCCCCAATAGCCTAGAAGGCTAATCTTCCATCCAAGAGGACCACCCTTTGTACCAAAAACATCCTCAGAGAATTTCTCAGCCCCATGACCTGTGCAGTGGGCAGTTAAAACCATATACCAACACATTCCTTTGGCACTTTTATCTGTCTCCCACCACTATTGCAGGAAGCCTACAACCAGTGACAATTTGAGAGTAGGTTGGTTCCTACAGCTGCAACTCCCTGCTTCCCTCCATCTTAGGCAGGAGAAACTAGGACTGCTGCCTCATATGATGATTAGCAGGCACCTAAAATGAGTTAAAATGGCTGCCAGACCACATTCCAGCTCTAGCTTCACTGTCAGAAATGCTGCTCTTATTCGCCCCAACCCAGCTGCAGTTCTGAAAATCCACTTAAGTGCTTTCAACATCTGGAGCCATTTGCATGCAGCACAAAACACCCTATGAAGCCCATCATATAATCCCCCTGGAGATTCCAACAAGATTTACTGGTATCCATTCAGACCTACAGAGCCAACGTTTACGCTACCTGCTAACTAAGGTTGGAGAAGATAGTTCTGCCTGAAGAGAAGCATGCAGAGTTAAGAAATGTGGGCTCCCTTGCTTGAAAAGGCGGATAGTTGCAGAAAAAGCCATCTCTGCTGCATTGATTGAGCACACAGATCAAGGAAATGAGAAATACCCTATGAATGCAACTAGTTAGATTTGTGTCTTGCATGAATCCATACTCCTTTCAAGAGCATCCTGGAGTGCTCCCCAACAAGCCTCTTAATAGCCTATGAAAGAAAGTGGCATGCATGATTAAGACTCCACCCAGATCTGTCCTGAAGCTTAGGGCTTCTAAGAAAATTTGTCGGGGAAGGTTCTGCCCGTCTCCCGATATGTAGCTTGAATGCATTAATGGAGTACTGTGATGAGCGTAAGCCATTTCTTCTTGGCCTCAATTCTGGGGAATACAAGTGCCCTCCAAATACAGGAGTTCAACTTTCATTGAAGAATTGGAGAATACAAGAAAGAGAAACCAGCATTCCAAGGGAAAGGATATCTGAGAAAACATGAAGCTACCCAATTATTGGCCGCTTGGCCAACTACTAGAGAAAAGGACCCAACTCCAATCCATAAAGGGGTCACCATTTATTCTTTTCAAATGTTACAATAAGACCCATACGACTTTTGTTTAGGAGTTAGAAAACTGCAGATCAGAAGTAGGGTCATTAAAAAATTATTTACAAAGACAAGGAAATGAAAATTTAGTCACATCATACAGCCAGCCCTCACCCTCAACCCTCTCCCACCCCCTCCCTAAGGGTTTCCCCCATCCCTAAATAAACCCGAAGTAGTTCTCCCTCTGATGTCAAATTAAACACAGTGGACTTACACGCTTTATGGTTTAAAGCCAAGAGCAAGACATTATAAAAAAAACTAACCAGATTAGCTTTTTAAATGGTTGTTCCTATAAAAAGCACAAAATATTTTTAAATGAAGTCAGAACCAGGAATGTAAACCAAGAGAGAGAGAATATCAGTTTTGAAAAACGGGTCAGTTGTTGCTGGTTTGTTGGACTTTTTGGAGAAAAAAGAAAAGCTGCTTTTGAAGATTAGTAGAAACAGAAGATCTGAGGAAAAAGGAACTTGGTGTTAATAGCTGGAGTCTCATTTCATGGAGCAATTTCCAGTTTCTGTCCAGGATCTCTCCATATAGTTTTATATAGTTTTAAGAGGGGCTTTAGAACTCCTGCTTGAGGGACAGTGGGGCCAAGTCAGGTTTTTTTTCCCTTCACTGTGTGTGTGGGGGGGGGGGGGGGGACACTGTGAAGAGACAAAGCTTGCCGGCTCAATGCAGAAGGCCTGTGTGTGTGACGGGCATGTGTGGCATGTGGTCAAGGCAGCAGTTCTGTGGGGTTGGTGGGATTGGAAGGATGGCACAGATAAGTCTCTTTCCGATGGGCAGGAGGTGGGCAGCTAAGTCAGCTCTATTCTTCTTTCTGCTCAACAGCTGCAGCAGCGTCAGCCACAGTGGTCGGCTCCGCTTCCGCAGATTTTGAGGTCTCATCTGGCTTTACATCCCCCTGACTCTCACTGGAAGGCAGCTGCTGCGGCTGTTCCTCCTCTTTTGCTGGCCCCTCGCTGCCATCTTGCCGCTTGGCCACCGGTTCATCGTCGGGAGCAGAGGCGGTGGCGGGGGTTTCCTCCGTGGCCGCAGTCTCCTCTTGGGGCACACTGGCCGGCTCCCCCTCCTCTGTGGCAGCAGTGGCTGACTGGTCCTCAGCCTCCACTGCTTCGGCCTTCCCCTGCTGCTCCTCGCTGGGAGAGGAGGCGGCCGAGGCGTCTCCGGCTTCCTTTTTGGCTTTCCGGAAGGAAATGCCGCTCAGCTTGAAGGATTTTTTGAATGAGAACCGTTTCTTCTTCTTGGGGGTCTGCTTGGAAGCGTTGGCCGAAGCAGCTCCGTCGGGTTTGGCTTCACCCTCAGCCACGGGGGCTGGCTCTATGGCATCTCCGCTGCCCATCTCGGCCTTGGCAAGCTCCTTGGGGGCCTCTGCTGAGCCACTGCCATTCAGGGAGCTCACCTCCCCATCGGCTTTAGGGGACACGTCCCCATTGACTTTCACATGGCCGTTTTCCTGGAGGAGAAAAGAAAAGTTAAGAGTTACAGCTCTGAAAAAGCAGCTCAGCATCAGTGCATCCCATTCAGCTGCCCCCACCCCCACTTGCATGAGGGGAAACCCCACGTCCCCTAGTCCAAGGCATAAACACCGGCAATAGCACAACCTCGACTGCCCTCACACAACACAACACTCGAGTACTGAATTAATGCGTTTTTCTGGGCTTGCACCCAGCAGTCAACCCACCCATTCAAACCACCTGGGGTTTACCCAGTATATCGAGCAGCAGAAAAACGACTGAAGGTCTACTGGATTTATTTTTCCAGCCCTTTGGGTTTTCCTTCCATCCCCATGTGCCACACTACAACTCCCATCCTCCAACTCCCACAGCGAGACGACGCGCGCTGTTCAGACCGGAGGAGGGTGGGGGTGTCACACGCTACTTGGCCGCGGCTGAGCCAGGCTTTTTCAGGGTTCGCGCTCGGCTCAGAGGCTTTGCCCCCCGAATCCCGCTTCGGGTCTCCTTTCCTGGGAGGCGGCTGAAGCGCCTCTCCCCAAGAAAGCGAACGTGCCGCGGCGCCGCCGCTGGGGGGCGCCACCTTCCCGCCGAGGCCCACCCGGGTTGCAGCGCCAAGGCTGCGCTCCCGGGAGCAGGAGGCGAAGGAGCAGGAGCGCCGCCGCCGGGAATCCCCGCTCTGGCCGAAAAGGCGGGGAGGGGGGGGGGCTGCTTTCTCTCCCGATGCAAAGCCTCGCCGTTGGGCCGCTGGGTCCGGCGGCGCTGGGGGGGGAGGGACGCCAGGCGAGGCAGGGAGGGCCACGTTAGCAGCCCCGCCTCCCGCCCGCCGGTCCCTTCGAGGCTGAAGCGCCCCGCCCCGCCCCTCTCGGGGTTCGGGGCTCCGCGCAAAAGGGAGGAAATGGGGGGGGGATGCAGGCAGCGCCGCCCTCGCCCGGGAGCGCCCGCAATGCAGCGGGGGGACCGAGCGCGGCGGGCCCTCCTTTGTTCCCCGTCGGGCGGGGGGCGCGCTCCGTCTGCAAGGCTCGGCGTCGAACAAAGGCGCGCCATGCCGCGTCTGGCGGGCTTCAGGCGACCGTCCCGAGAGGCTGCCGCGCCCAAGGCGGGTCCGGCCGGGCGGGCTGGCCGCGGAACAATGGGCGCCCCAGACCCACCTGGCCGTTGGACTTGGAGGGCGAGGCGTCTCCGGCGGCGTCCTGGGCCATCACGTCCCCCTTGGCGGCCTTGGAGCTGTGGCTGCCCATGGCGGCGGCGGCGGCGGCGGCGCGGCTGCTGGCGAGACGGGCAGCGCGGCGGAGGCGGCGAGGCGCAGGCGGCGATCCCGGCAGGGCAAGGCGGACGGAGCCCCGAGGGCCGCCTCAAGGGACGCTGCGCGGGGAAGCCAGCCCAGGAGGCGCCGCCGGCTCGCTCGGATCCCGGCCTCTCAGCCGTTGCAGCCTCCGCGCAAAGCCTCGCGCGCGCTCCGCTTGCACTGAGCCCGGTGCGCAAAAGCGGCGGCTAATAAGGCTGCCGCACGCGCGGGGGCGGAGCCGGCCGCCCAAGTCCCGCCCGGGGGAGGCGCGCAGGGGCGGGGGGCTTCTCTCGCGGCTCGCCGGGGCGGGGGCGCTGCAGGGCGCGGCTGTGGCGAGCCCCGGAGACCCTCGCCCGGCAGCGCCTCGCGTCTCCGGAAAGGAGGCAGCGCTTGCGCCGGTGCGCTTGAACATGTGCAGAGTGCGCTTCTGGGGGTCTCAGTTCTGGTGCAGCTCTTGGTAACCCAAGATGGGTGGGCGCCCCCTGCCCCTCGCTCCCTCTTAGGATCCCGCTCCCCCTTCGCTGGGGATGGGAAAACCCCTATGGGCACCCACCGCCCCCCCCCCCCCACCTCTCCAAGTTGACGCTGCTGCGAAGATGCTGGTCAGCTTTGCTTAACGTGGTTGAGCGAAAGAATCACGATCCGCTTGGCTTGACGGAACAGGTTGAAGTGTCAATTATTGACAACTCACGACGGTGGTTGACTCTGGATAGTAGCATCCTGAACTGAACACGTGTAAAGTATAGGATGGCTTAGCTCAGGGGTCTTCAAACTTGGCAACTTTAAGACTTGTGGACTTCAACTCCCAGAATTCTCCAGCCAGCAGGCAGGCTGAGAATTCTGGGAGTCGAAGTCCAGAAGCCTTAAAGTTGCCAAGTTTGAAGACCCCTGGCTTAGCGTGATGATTGCATCTTACTTCCTTAAGGGCCAAAACTGCCCTTTTTCAATGTGTGTTTTGCTTATTTTGCTTCCTGGCTTAAATTTGAAGGTTCTGCATTCAAGTAAGCGTTGAGCTGCTGTTAGGACTTTATTTTTAGGATTTCACAAAACGCCAGTTTGGTAGCACAGAAGGTGGGATATAAATTTGTACTGGCTGGTTTTAATTGGTATACTTCCATTGAGTGTGCATGATGCCTGACTTTTTGGATCAGATCTTTTTCCTTGAAGTGCTGCTGAGGTTCATCCCTTCAAAATAAATGGGCGAGATTAGATCTTTCATGGATATTTGCCACCACAATAGTAATAATGAGCTGAATAAGCTGGAAGAAGTTAAGTTTAAGGTAGTGGATATAGTTAGGAATAATGTGTTTTCCTTTATGTGCACCTGTTGGCTAATCTGGCCACATCCACACACATAGAGTGCTACTTTAGTAATCAACTGCTTTGAAACTCATCGAATTTGGTACTCAACTCATTTTGACATGAAAATTTTGTCCTGGTATTCACCGTTCGTTTGATACTCAACACACATGCTAGAACTTGTTGGAGTCTGCTCTCTTGTGTGATTCACTATTTTATTCCTTAATGGGAAAATTGTTTGGTACTCATCATTTTTGCCACTCATCGTGCCTCCCAGAACCAAATGACCAAGTACCAAGTGCCACTGTACTTTTTTCCTGACTCCCACCCTGTGGATACCCTTTAACCATTGCAAAAATGACAACATATTAAAAATTTAAAACATTTAAAGGATGCCTTCAAACCTGCTGTTGATATTATTTGATTGTTTCTGCTTGCAAGAGAGGAAGAGATCTTTTTCCCTTGAAAAAGCCAGAGAGAAGATTTGAGTGGGTGTAGCTTTCAAGTGTTAATTAAGGGAACTTCCTACAGCAGAGGCAGTAATCTCAGGGGTGAAATGCTCCCGGTTCGGACCGGATCGCTAGATCCAGTAGTGATGGCAGTGGGTGGTTTGGAGAACCTGTAGCAGAAATCCCTGCCCAGCTGAGCCGTACGATCATCAGAGGCTTTTTTTTTTTTTTTACTTTTAAAAGCATTTTTTTCTGCAACCTCTTTGGCAGAAGAGGTTGTGGAAAAAATGCTTTTAAAAGTAAAAAAAAAAAGTTGGCCACACCCACCCAGTCACTTTACCCCCCCCCCCACCAAGCCACGCCCACAGAACCGGTAGTAACAAATTTTACATTTCACCACTGCCTAATCTTCATTTGTGAGCTTCCTGGGGGACGTATGGTTGGTTGTGCTTGGAAGTGGGAATTTTTGCTTTCTTGATGCAGCTGTTCCTGGGCCTTTGTACAGTATTTACTCTCAGGTTGTAAAATACGGTACCGCTTTCACTTGGAGTTGTTGTCAGTTTTCTAAGAATTTACTTGTCTGCACACAATACACGAAGCCTCTTGGCCAGGCTGTCCTGTTTTCTTTTTTGCCCTGGAGCTGGGTAGGAAATGGGGTGGGGGTGGGGGGTTTAAGGAAGGGCTTAAGACTAGGTGAAGGTGAGAGAACATGACCTCATGGTGATTTAATTGATTAGATTACCAGTGGAAACTGATTAACTTCCACTTCAAGGACAGGCTTGCAAAACAGACCCCCTTTTTTCCCCCCCTGCAGAGGGGCACCTTAGGGCACAGGAGAGCCATGGAGTGAGCTGGCTATTTGTGGGTCTGACCCCTTTCTCTCTCCTGCTGCTGGGACCTAGGCTGCCAGGGCAGAGAGCAGCTTCACCAGATGAAGGCCAGCTCCCAGAACCCCAAACAATAGAGGGCCTTTTATTGTTCTCACTCAGGTTGTGTCTTGGGCTGGGAGAGAACTAAGCGGATTGAATTGCTTCCCTTGGTTGGGGTCCTTTCCATTGGAGGCCTTGGAGGTCCAAGAGAAGAGGCAACTCCAGGGACCTTCTGGCTTTCGGGAGATGAAAGATGCTGGGGTTGAGCTTCAGTATCTTTTACAAGCTTTCTCCCTCCCTAAAAAAAAAAAAAATTGGTTTCAAGGGACATCCATGGTGGTGGGGGGGAGGGCTCAGAAAAAGTTGAGGTAGTGATCATACCCGGGCAATCAAAGCCGTGGCCCCTTCGCTGTGCAAACCATGTGAAAAAGGAGGGTTTTGAGTGTGCGATTGTAGCCACCATCTTGATGTTTCTGACACACCCTGGAGATAATGTTTGTTTTTTTTTATAATTGTATTAAAAGGTTTTTTTAAAGATAAAAACTAATATGAGGGGAGGGAGGGAGGGAGGGAGGAAGTTAAAATGCAAGAAAGAAAGTAAAAGAAAAATAGAAATAAGATACAAAGAAGAGGTTTCTGATATTTACAGCAGTTATGACTACAATTATAAATTTACCCATTTCACTATGTTTACAACATATCTCTCTTCTGTCTGTCATCTGTCCTATCTGTTCATAAAAACCATAAATCATACGCTCATTTTTAATTTTTTTGTTAAAACGCCATAGGGCCATGATGGCGAACCTATGGCATGCGTGCCACAGGCGGCACGCGGAGTTTCTGCAGGCATGCGAGCTGTCGCCGTAGATCAGTTCCACTGCGCATGCACATGCGCCTCCCATTGGCCAGCTGATTTTCAGGGCTCTGCCGTGCATGTGGGAGACGCGAGCGCATGCCCATGCCGCCCCTCCCCTCCCAGGAGTCTCCATGCAGCCCGTTTTGGATGCCAAGTAAGAACAGGGCTTGTTTGGAGGCTCTGGGAGGGCGAAAAACGGGCGTACCGGAAATCCAGAAACAGGCCATTTCCGTCCTCCGGAGGGCTGGGGGAGACCGCTTTCACCCTCCTGGAGGCTCCAGGAAAGCCTCCAGACCCTCCGGAGGGCGAAAAACGAGCCTATTGGAAGTCCGGAAACAGGCCATTTCTGGCCTCCGGAGGCTTCAGGGAGGCCTGCTAGGCCCAAAATGGGGGAGGGAGGTTGTCGTGTGCACATGTGCAGGGGAAGGGGCATGCATTGGGGGCATTGGATTATGGGTGTGGGCACGCATGTGTGTGCTATCGGGCACACACATGTGTTTTTGGCACCCAGGAAAAAAAGGTTAGCCGTCACTGCCATAGGGGGTTTCCAGTCAGCACTCAAGAGACCAATTTTTCAATATAACTGCATCATGATGTCATTGCACAAATGGCCAAATTGCCATTCCTTGTGTATTGATGTAAGAGGCAGATGATGTCATGGCTTTTAACAGACCCCATTGGTATGTCTAATAACAAAGTATGCAATACTTTGTTCTCAACCTTTTCTTCATTACGGACCCCTTTTAAATACCTTTTGTCGCCACAGACCCCCAAGATTTAAATCATAACATTTCCTCAAGCCTTTGCGGACCCCCTATGATGACATCAAACCCCACCTCCCCCCGGGGTCTGCAAACTACAGGTTGAGAACCACTGCAATACATCATACATACAGTACACATCAGTGTTTCTCAACCTTAGCAACTTTAAAATTGGTACATTTCACCTCCCAGAATTCCCCAGCCAGCATCGCAGTTGAAGTCCACCCATCTTAAAGTTGCCAAGGTTGAGAAACACTGCTATCCATGGTAAAGGGGTGGTGATAGATGACGAAGGCACGGCCCAAATGTCAGATGCTGTCAGACCTGCATACACAGAAGAGGACACCATAAGCAAACTTCAACAAAGTGTGAACAACAGCAGCAGCAACACAACCTGCCAATGGGTTGAGCACATGTGCCTTTCTATCTCCCTCAAGGACAGCCTGGATTAAGTGCAGGAACAACAAACCATCAAGCCAGAAATTAAATGAAAATGACAAAACCACAAGCAGATGAAAAAAGAGAGAATTTTGGAAGTGTGGGCATATGGATATGTATTCATATATTTTATGGAGAAATAACAAGTGAAACATCAATATTCCTATTCAGAATGTCATTTCCACAGGAGGAGGATTTTAAGAGAAACATTATCTCTCTGGATAAAATGGGAGACCAGATTTCAATACGTTTATTCTTGTCAGACCTTACAAAGTTGTTTGCGGTTTTTTGCCAAAATAATTTCCCATATTTAGTTTGCCACTAAACAGCAGTTGAAAACAAGAAGAGAATTGACAAGAAGATTCTTGGATGATTTTGCCTAATTTCTTTAAATCCATTTGATCCCCAAAGAAGGGCAGATTAGGCGTTGCAAGAGTACCCACAAAATCCAGACAGCCGAATGGTATATAAAAGTTTGTATTTAGTGAGTTGGCTTGGTGCAAA